AAAGTTATTCTTTCTCAAACAATTACCAGCTGGAGCACAAAGAGACAAGGATGACATTGAAGATGACGAAGGCCATGGAGCTGCAATATTGTCAATCAAGTCACATGTAAATCTGTAGCCTGTTGAATTGTCAAATTCCACATCTCATGGCAAGCTTCATAGTAGGCATCCTAGATACGTTGAAAATACCAAAATTTTCAGTCCTTATGGTTTATGAATTTCTTTCAAACTTTAGGGAATAATCATCTACCTAATTAATGCATATATCAAACTAGGAAAAAGTACAAAAAATATGTTAAGAGTAAAAATTTTCTAGTACGTAAAAAGAGGTCAATTGATGACTCTTAAGTGTTCAGCCAGCACATGCACGTACAAACACATACACCATTTTTATTGTTAACCATACGTGAGAAGATTATGTTAGAAAAAATAAATAAGAGAAAAGATAAAATAGAAAAGAATTTTGATTTTGAGGCATAAAGAATATTATCTTAAAAATAATTATGCTTTTAAAATATAATAAAGTTTTAAATTCTTTAATCAAAAGTAGTAAAAATAGTTATTCTAAAAAATTTTTATAATGAATGAAGAGACATAAACTTCTATTTAAATAGTTATAACTTCTATATAATCATAACCTTTATGAATAATAATATATTTATATTTAAATAATTATGATCATTTGTCATATGATAATTATTTTTGTTCAAACATAATTATCTAAAATATAAGTAATATTAATACAAAAATTAATTTTATTCATCAATAATTAAATCTTTCTATTCAATGTGGATACATCACATTCTAAACTACCAACAATCATCCACTAGTTTGGAATGTTGGTGTTTAATTTTTACCTTTCACACAAATAAATATTATAAATACAAGAATATATCTCTCGATTTAAACATTTAATCAGCGCATATATCTTAGAATTTTAATCAAGTTGATGGTGTTAGTAGATTAAACCTCAACTCCTAGTATTAGAATTGAAGATATAACATATATAAACTTATTTATTCTTCTATCAGAAGTTTATAACCTCTTTTAGCGCTATTATGATTATGTGCTTATTTTATTCATAAATATTTACAAAAGAAAACCTAATTCTTCTTGTTGAACCGGCACCATTTCTATGTTTATATAGGTTGAATTTTCATTATGTCTCTATTACTTTAAACATTTAAAACTCCATTAAGAGTATAAAAACTCATCATTCTCACATAATGTATCACAATAATTTTTAAAATTTGAACGGATTTTACTAGGACTTAACAAATACATAATAATAACTTATTTTTACCCATTAAACTTTGTAATTAGATGTTACTAATTCAAAGTTGGGTTTTCATTATTGGTGTCTAACAATAAGGGTTTAAATCCATTCTACTTGTAGTACTACTAACTAAATATTTTGGAATTCAATTTGCTTTTATGGTAATTATCCCTACTTGAAATTGAATCTCTAATATAATCACTTCAGGCTAATATGTCTAAACTTTTTATTTTGTATATCATTTATATGCTTAAGACATTATTGCCTCATTCTTATCATTTTAAGACATAATTGGTTTTGGTTGTGACCATAATTCTATACTCATAAATTTTAACTATTATATTTTTATACTTTTATGCATCTTTAATACAATTATACTTCTAGTACAATTAAATAAACTCAATGAATAAACCAAATCATTGTAGTCATTTTAAGATTTTTAAGGACCTTTTTATTATTTTACTTTAATAAGTGTTTAAACTTATTAGCTTATATAATTTGCTCATAAAATTATACCAAAATCTTACAACAATATGGTGAAATTTTTATTTTTGTATTCTTATCACCCCCACCAAGTGCAAGTACGCATTCTTTTATTAAAGAATATCCCATTCAATTGTTAATATATCATATATACTTAATCAAGTTGTCATTTTATTTATCTTTTCACTATTTTGAGGTTTTTTTTTCTTTTAAGTAGGAGGCCTCCAAATCCACCCTCAATGAAAGATAACTCAATATAAGAATTTAGATCAATAAGCAGATTTCAAATATAATCATGGTTCTATAATCTCTTTTTAAGACTTTTTATGTCAATTCATAAATATTTATATGAATCTATTTCATCATGGATACTATTAATAATTTTTTTACCATGAACATGACAATTTTCATCACCCAAATGGATCAAATAGCATTCCTTTTGTTATTATAAAAGTTTTCATATTCGCAAGATCTTTGAATCACTCAAAGCTTCCAAAGTAAATATACTTTGAAATTTTCACTATATAAAACCATAGATGATAAATCATTTGTGTGATATATGATTAGATCATATATATAAAAAAATTACCACAACATTATCAAGATTGTGGCATCAATTTTGGCTTATGGCTATTCTAAGCCAACCACATTAATCCATATCATACCTACAAATTATGTAGATTTGACTATTGAGATTATCTCATTTATAGTGATGGGTTTTAGTAAAAACCAACTAGCTCAAATGTTATCATAATGCATATATTAATTGCCCAATGGCCAATTCAAAGTTCATGACTATTGAAACATCTAAACTTGATTTTAAAATTTTATGAAAACTTTATTTCTTCTTCATTGTGCAGCTTATGTATATCTATTATTTATCACTTTAATTGGTCATACCATTTTTGGATATATAATAAATTCAAACTTTATTCATAGCAACAATATGCCTATGTACAATAAAAGTCCATAGTATATATATTTAATTCCAATTTCAAATACTTTCACAATCATTTTGTGATCAATATGTTCATATCTAGATCACTATATCAATGTAAGTGATGAAACATGAATCCAAATAATCATTTTCATAAAATAGCATAAATAATAATTATAATATGAATTCTACTCATATTTCATGCAAATACTTGTGATGAATTTGCATTGGTTAAATCATTGATTGGCTAACTTCAAGGCTTATGGCTTTCACAAACCAATATTATTATCTAATCTCATATGTTCATATGGTGTATAACTAGCCACATCCTTACCATTGTCATGAAATTATTGAAAATCTCGAAAACTTGTGCACTTTTCATTTTAATAACCTGCAAAAGGCCATTTTTTTAGGTACAAGAAGTAAAAATATCTTCATTATTTTTAACCAATAATGTATTAATTGGATGATGACATTCTATCTTTATAGTCCATTTTTTTTATATGTATAAGAAAGAAAATTTCATCCCATTCAGTACATTTTTGTTATATATGGCAAACTATACCAATATTCTCCATGCCATCACAAAATGGAATTAAACACATACATGTATTGGTGCCTTGGAATATTGAATTTGCATGATCTTTTCTAATTTATAAATATAGTTAATTAGACATTGATGAGCATCTTTCAAAATGCTTTAATATTTTTAATGACATGCCTTTTCTTTTAATCAATATCCTATATGCAAAAAGTAATAATGCTTTTGTGTAATTATTGATTAATTATTTGATGGCTATTTATGATTTTCACTTTGTGATTATTCACAATAAAATTTTATTTTGTAAAATTACTTTCAATATAATATACCTAGTAGGCAAAATATATAGCACACTACCAATATTTCTGATAATAACAATTGTTTGGTTTACCATCCACCAATTAATCCATAAAACACTATATCTTAATAATAATTATTCACATGCATCAATTTAATTTTAATTGGTGAAAATTGAACACTAGTCAAATTTGAACCAATAATAAATTAAAAAATATATATAAACTTTTGACTTATAGATGACCAACAAAGATAAAACCATACAAATAACTTGACTTAACTTATTATCTTAATTTTGGTGCCATAATTTAAAAATAAAACTAACCTTGTAGCTAAATTTTATTCTTTTTGCATATATTCTCCACTTATATCTAACTTTTCATAGTAAATTTTTTACTCATTTTCGATTGTTTTCATATAAACCATGGAACAATTTGCCTGTTCTATATATAACGAAGACATGACAATTAAACAATCAGTCATTCTATTAGAACCTAATTTAATTCGTTACTTGATAACAAGTAATAATTCTTTTAGTCGTAGATCAATTCATGCCTTTCTCTTTTATGTTTTTAGGTTATTTCTCATCATAGTCTTTATAAACATTGATTTTTTAAATATATATAATATAATTTATTAAATCTAATTGTAGAGCCAATTTCAGTATATGTATAAATTTATGCAAAGTAATCAATATTTTACATATTGTATTTTGACTTTACACATTAATGAAATTAATTATTAACGTGTTTATCTCATTCAGTCAATATTTTTAATAGCAATTAGGTAAAAAATAAGATACATATCTCTAATGAAGATCTTTATAAAAATTAACATTTTGGTCTATAGAAACATTAATCCTTTAACACCTTGAGCCTCCTTTAATATTGATCTTCAAATTATGCCAATTTCTTTTCCTTGTATCTTTCTCATGCGAAATATTAATCTCATAATTACCTTTAAATTATTAAAAAAAATAACTAAGGGAAGAGAAAAAATAAAAAAAAATAATTTTGAGGCATGAAAAACACTTTCTTAAAGTCAATTATACTTTTAGGATATAACAAAGCTTCAAATTCTTTAATAAGAAGTAGAAAAAATAATTATATTGAAAAATTTATTTATAATGAATGAACAAATATAAAATTCTATTTAAATAATTATATTTTTTTTTATTATCATGACCTTTATGAATAATAATCTATTTATATTCAAATAGTTATGATCATTTATCATATGATAATTATTTTTGTTCAAACATAATTATCTAAAATATAAATAAAATTAATACAAAAATTAACTTTACTCATTAATAAATAAATCTTTTTATCTGACGTGGATGTATCACATTTTAAATTATTTTAGACCATATGTTGTAGCAACCGCACATAAGAATTCAATAGGCAGAAAGAAAAGAAGAAAACCTCAATATTAGATAAAACAATAGAGCAAAATGGGCAAAGTGTTAGAAGATTGGAAGAAGAACATCAAACAGAATACTATACCTTGGATGCTAAAATCTTTGAAGTCAACGTCACAAAGCTCATAAACAGTTGTCATAACTCCACCTTTTCTTAATATTGACCCAAACATGGTTGCACAAATTATGGCTTGCTTGTAATTAACATTTGCTTCTGTATCCCCGCGATGAAAGTATTTAACGAAGGACTGGGAGCAGCTACGTTACGGCATGCCTTAATTTCACAGTTTTTTCACTTTCATAGTTTACTCCTCCTTTTTTACCCCTCAAGCCTTCCACAGCAACAACCTGCATCGTTTTTCACTCTTCCTCTACCTCTCTTCCCTCGTCGCTACTCTCTTCTCTGTGTTGTTGTCTCTTTCATCTCTTCTCAAACCCAAACAAATAAAACCTCCTAACCCACTAATTCAAGTTGACTCAAGCTTGAAGCTTCTCACCCTCCCCTGAACAACAGTTCGACTCCCAGGCCCAGGCACCCAACGACCAGCAAACCAAGCAGCCCACCAGCCCTGCCCTTTAGCTGCAGAGTTATGAAATGATGGTCAGACAGTCGATTCAAGAACCAAATGTTCAAGAGAAACATAACCAGCAAAAAAATTGGTAATTTTAAGTTGCTTACCTTCAAAATTCAAATCAATTACTTTGTTGTGTTGCTTCATATTGATGATTGAGGCTGAAATTTTGAATTTGGGTTTGTGAATTTGAGCGATGGGAATCAAAAAATTTTCCTTACATATTTGGATTGAAAACGGAATAGCGGGACTGCTATTCTCGGTTATGCCGTTTTCAACGGTCGTTATGCGCCGCTACGGTTGAGATTGAAATTTTCCCATGGTTGCGGACGGTGGCGTTACCGCAAAATAGCGGCTTTCATACCGCTACAGCACCGCTATTTGAAACCATCCAGTATCTTTTCTTTCATGCATTCGTTACAGCTGCATGCAATTCTTCAGAATCAACTTCAAAGATTGCTTCTTACACTTTTCCCCGTATTGCTAGATCTGCTGCAGCCCTTAAAGCCAAAACTTCAGCTTTCAGGACAGAATCCACTGTCTTACCAAATGCCTCATCGCTGCTTAAGACAGTGAGAGGGTAAGGAGAGGTACTAGTGCTCTGAAACAGTGTTATATTAGGGTACCGTTTGCATTCATTCAAATTTCTAGTATTTCACAGTGATGGGCTCTTCCGCCTTAAAGGCCTTAGTAGTCTGCGCTCAAGCTATTCAAGATGGGAATCTGAAACTGGCCGATTCACTCTTGGAGCTGATCTGGAATCTCGCTTCAGAGGAATCGGATGAACAACAAAGCAAAGTTGTGAAATACTTTGCAGAAGCTCTAGTTCGCCGAGTTTGCGGACTCCATCCTTCCGTTCGTTATAATTTGCAGTGGCTTCCATATGCTTTTACTTGCCTTACCGGCGATGCCGTCAACACTGTTGTAACGAGAAAGAAGCGATTGCACCTCATTGACTTCAACATCCCACATCTATATGGATGGCAACCCTGGGAATACTTGTTTGGGGCACTAAATAGCCGTTACGCCGATCCCCTGTCAGTCCGTGTAAGTGTCATATTACCACCATTTTTGAAAGAAAGTGTAAATATACAACAAGAAAAACCGCGTCTCCTTGAATGGGCTAGGGACAGTAAAGTTGAGTTGGAGGACGACTTGAAAGTGGTTTACGCAAATAGTTTGGGTGAAATGGATGCGTCCATGTTAGATTTTAGAAGATCAGAGGATGAGGCCGTGGTCGTTTTCTATATTTTTAAACTCCAAATGTTGCTGGTGGATGCTGGAGCAATGGAGAGAGAATTGTTGAAGTTGAGGCAGATAAACCCAGAGATTGTGATGATAATGGAGCAGGATGCTAATAACAATGACTTCAATTTCATCAAACGGTTGGAAGACTCTTTTCAATATTACTCTCATGCTTTCCGTTTCGATGGAGATTCGTACCAGGAAATGGAGAATGATTATAGGCGACAGATAATGAGCATAGTGGGATGTGAGGGCAAGGACCGAATTGTGCGACATGAGACTTTGGGTCAGTGGCGATCCCGCTTGCTAACGTATGGCTTTCTTCCTGTTCCACTCGAGGCGACGTCGATGCTAGTATCTGTATACGACGAAATCCATGAGGAAAATGGGTGTTGGGTTTTTTGTGAGGGGAACCTGCCAATGTTTTTCATATCGGCTTGGAAAGTCAGACAATGGGAGGACCACTTCAATCTAATCAGCGATAACTTTGTCCAAGGTAACTTTAGGATTAAAGATTAAAAATTAAATAAAAGAATAACATTTTTTTATATTTAAAAATAAATAAATGGGTTTGCACAAAATTTGAGACTTCAATTTGTGAGTTCGATCAAACTTTAATAAACATGTATAATGATGATATTATGCTTAGATGTAATCGGGTCAATAGACTCATCTACTTTAAATAATTGTAATTTTAATTCATTTAAATCAATCAAATACGAATGAAAAAAAAAATATATATGTTGTGGAATATTTCTTTTATATAACAAATTTAGAGTTTTGAAAAAAAAAATCTGATGTGAAGTTGATTTTATTTTTCATTTTGCCTTTCTCATTTTTACATCACTAACACTTATCTAGCTTGGTTAGAACGTTAATTGAAGAAAATGTTATTTGAATCATAAGCTTTTTTTTTTTTTACTTTATTGATGTTTGGATTTACGATTATTTTGGCTAATGGTAACATGTTTATGAATATAGGTTTCAATCCTATTCCTACATCAGAGGATAAAATACAACCCTTACAACTTTTACGAGAGGTATTAACTTTCTTGCTTTTAGTTTTGGGATAATATGATCAATAACCCTTAAAATATATCAAAATATTAAATGTGATACTTGAATTTAAAAATTTTTTAATGTAATATCTGAACCATGAATCTATTAAGTGATGTGACTATTAAGTAGGGATAGTCACATGTCATTTTTTAGTTAACTGATTTATGCAATCATTAAATACCAAATATAAATCCTATTTTAAATTCATCTGTGACTTTTAAAATTCAATTTTTTCATGAGCCTTTTGAAAATATTTTAAATCTGTCTATCCCTATAATCGTCATTAAAATATAACAAAATGTGCTACAAGATCAAAGAGTGGTAAGTTAAAGATGGATTATGCTTTTCTTTTTCCAAGTGCTATTTTGGATTTTCTTTTTTTATTTTATTATAATTCATTATTACCTAATATTTTAATTAACAGAGTTTCTCATTGAATCGGTTAGCAGCTTTTGCCGAGATATATGACATGTTAGATGATGTGTGTTTTAAATACAAGCTTACTTTGGCTTTAACATGGGCTTGTGGGGTTAATGTTAAGCAAAACCTGGATGGGATTACGTCAGATCCATACAAGAAAGATATTTTATGCATTGAAAGTGCTTATTCTTATGTGAATGATGAGGAGTCTCAACAGTTCATGAGAAGATGTGCAAAACAAAATCATCTTCTAGGAGGGCAAGCTATTGTTGGAAAAGCACTTCAATCAAATGAGCCCTTCCTTTTTGAATCAAGTATTGCTAAGCCTGAGAAATGTGACAATCAATTTGCTATTGTTGCACGTGAATTTGGCCCTCATGCTGCTCTTGCAATCTGTCTACAAAACCATTGCAATGATGTTTATGTAGTAGAATTCTTTTTGCCTCTAACTGAGGGAAAACTTGAGAAACCAGAATCCATGGCACTCGATATTTTCAATGACTTGAAAAATATGAAGAAAATGTTTGTAACATTAAGAGTTCATGGAACTGAAGTTGGTTTCCAGGAAGAAGCCACTTCAAACATTCGACAGGTGACAATGTCTATGCAAAACCTTTCACCAGCTTCATCTACCAATGATTTTCTAAACTCAAACACAACAAGGCCTTTGAATACATTTGAAGCAAGGGATGGTCATGTTGAACTGGAAAGACAAGGGTTTAATGAGCAGGTACCCATCTTAATTGTATTTTCATTATCTTATTCCAGGGTCATAAATTTGCTGCATTCACCGCAGGTCTACTGACAACAACATTTGTTTTTAGGGGACAATGGCTTCATGTTCCAACCAATTGGGTATGGCTACAATAGGCTTTTCATCAGTATCTATCCATGCTTCATCAGTAGGTGGAATATGTCCCTTTAATGCTCCCAAGCCAGTGGGTTATGATGGAGTACTGGAAACACAAGGGACTTGGAAACAGGTAATAAGTTGTCCCTTAATCACTATATTCTAGGAGACAATTGAATTGCGTACTCTTAATTTCTCCATAACAATGTTGTTTTAAGTATATAAGGGCCTTTTGGTAGAGTACTGAACTCTTAGTTCTAGTGATCAAAGTTCAAATCCTGATAACCTAAAGAATTTTAAAGAAAAAGAAAAGAAAAGAAAAAAGCTTAAGAAGTAGGAATTCAATTAGTTGCACTTTGTCCTCTTCCTCTTTCTCTTAAAAGAAAAAGGGTTATAAGTTGGAGAGATGCGAACATTTGATCAATGCATGCACAAATGTCGATAATTTAGTGGTTGATGCTTAATTGTCTAAAAGATTGTAATGTGCTTTCAAGTTTTAATTTGTATGCAAATGAATTAGGATTTTAATTGGCCCAGAGTTCTCTGACAGCTTTGTTATGCATTGGTAGTTTGATTTTAATTTTTGCACATAATTTATTTTCAATTTGTCTACTTTTTGAAAGGAAATCAAGAAAAAGAATTGCGTTTCTCAGACTATTTCCAATGGTAACAATAATATTGTGAAAGTAAATAAGGTCTGTACAATCCCACGAACCAAACAGAGAAAGTTGGTATCTGATGTTTGGAAGGATTTCATTAAGTTCGAAGTAGATGGAAAACAATGGGCCAAATGTAATCATTGTCATAAGAAGTTTACAGGGTCAAGCAAGAGTGGAACCACACACTTGAAAAATCATTTGGAAAGATGTCCAATTAAGAAAAGTGAATGTCAGGAAAGGCAGTTGAAATTTCCAGCTGAAACAGGTGATTCTACAACTCAAGATACCAATGAAAGAAACTCAACCTTTGATCAAGAAAGGAGTCGCTTGGATTTGGTGAAAATGATTATTAAGCATCAATTTCCATTGGATACTGCTGAATTAGAATTTTTCAAAAATTTTGTGAAAAATTTGCAGCCAATGTTTGAATTTCAATCGCAAGCAATTATTTTATCTGATATACATCGCATCTATGAGGTAGAGAAGGAGAAACTTAAGCAATATCTTGATCAGCTTGCTTGTAACTTCAGTTTGACAATTAGTATGTGGAAGGACAATCCTAGAAAGATTGCATATTGTTGTTTGATAGCACACTTTATTGACGATGGTTGGGAATTAAAGGCGAAGATAATTGCCTTCAAAATTTTGGAGCATAGCTATGACACAGGGACTTTAATTGGAATCATTCGAAGCTCAATTTTAGAATGGAATATGAGCAAGAAAGTATGTTCCATAACTGTGGATAATTCTTCTTTGAAAGATGATCTAGTTCAACAGATAAAAGAAGCGTGTCTTAGTGACCAAGGCTCACTTCTTTCCAGTCATTGTTTCATCAGTTGCAGTCTTATTCAGGATGGATTGCATGAGATAGATGATATAGTTTCAAAAATGAGGAAATCAATTGAATATATTAGTGAAACAGCCCATGGAAAGCTGAAATTTCAAGAAGCAGTAAATCAAGTGAAGCTAAAAGTTGGGAAATCAAGGGATGATCTTCCTTTAAGGCTGGATTCAGACTTTGGCATACTTGATTGTGCTTTGGAATTAAGAGAGATATTTTGTCAGATGGAGCAAATTGATGGCAGTTTCAGAGTAAACCCGTCAATGGAGGAATGGGATAAGGCAATAGCACTGCACAGTTGTTTGAAAGGCTTTTATGACATTTTAAGCAGTTTTGAAGGAATTCAATCCCTTACTGCAAATTTGTATTTTCCCAAGCTCTGTAACATATACAAGAAATTTCTTCAATTGGAAAAGAGCAGTTATCCATTTGTTTCATCAATGAAGAGGAAATTTGACAACTATTGGAGCTTATGTAATTTGGTTTTCACTGTTGCAGTTGTTCTTGACCCGCGATTAAAATTTAAGTTTGTGGAATTTTCATACAGTGAGATTTATGGTCGTGATAGTAAGATGCAATTGAACAAATTTCACAAAGTTCTTATGGAAGTTTACCATGAATATGCCGATGAACCTAGAATTCTGACCACATCTGCATCAGACTTTGGTGATTTTGGCTGTTCAACAGGACAAAGTACACAGATTGCTAATGATTGTATTTTGGACTCCTTCAGTAAATTTGCATCTGCAGGCAACTTTAATGAGTTGGCCTCATGGAAGTCAGAACTTGATTGCTACTTAGACGAGCCTTTACTTCGCTTGGATGAAACATCGTTTGATATACTAGGTTGGTGGCGTGTTAATTCTGAAAGATTTCCTACACTTGGAAGAATGGCTCATGATCTCCTTGCAATGCCAGTGTCAATTGTTCCACCATGTTCGGATCTCAGTGCCGTGATCACAAATCCAGCCTACAGTAGCTTGAATCCTGAAAGCCTGGAAGCTTTGGCATGCAGCCAGAACTGGTTGGAAATGTCAAAAGGAAGTAAGCCCAATTCTTTTTTTTTTTTTTTTACATCCTCTCATGATTTTATTAGCTAGAGTTTTTTCTTTTCTAACACATTTTTGTTAACTTTTTATGATTAGTGGTTTTCACTAATTTCATTTACTGACTGTCACAGGTGGCAGAGCAAATCATGTACCACAGCAAAATATGGTAGGTACATATGATATAAGTGATCAAAGCAATGTTATAACCATGAATTTAGGAAAACAATGTTACTTTTATGCATTTTCATTTGATAGGCAAAAAGGAAGATGGAGGAGAAAGAGACTCATGCGTTAAAGAACTTTCAGCGAGAAGGGATGGCACCATTAAAATCATCAGGTACTCCAAGAAAACAAGCTATTTAATTTTGGTTTCATTAATGTTCACAATATTATTAAGCAAAGTTAAACCCCATTGAGTACAGAGCCTAATCATGGAAGAAACATTAGTGGCTTAATTGAAATTCCAAATGGTGGCCCATCCTCTGACAATGAGTCAGAGTTTCAGTGCTTCTCTTCTGAGTCTGATGGTGAAGTAGCCTGGAGGGAGCATGGTGAATGGCATGAAGAGGTTCATACTCTATTTCATTTTTCATACCTTCGAGTTTATACGTTAAAAAAAATATATTTTGAAGTATATATATATATCTATAAATATAAAATATATATATACATATATATATATATATATTGTAATAGATCATCATCCTATATAATTTATATTAACCATACATATCATTCTCGAACCCACAACTTTTGTAAATCTAATTAATACTTAATACTTAATTAATATACATGTCATTTGAATTAATACTTAATTAATTGGCTGTTATATAGTTTTTAAACTATAACAACAGGGTATAGAATTGTAATCTACATATATATTATTGCTTTTACTCCATGTTTTTTGTTTTTAAAGGATATTCGAGCATATTTAATCTCGGACTTCACAGAGAAGGAGAGCAAAAGACTAAAAAGATGGCAAAGTCATGAGATGAGTGGGTATATTGCTAGCCTTGATATATATGACATTTATATAGAGTGATTAGTTTTACTTGATTGTCAAAGTTTGTGTTTCACAGAAAATTGATTGGACGAGATAAGGAGTTTGGTGTGCTGGATTACAAATTAGCATGTTTACTCATTGTTCCCCATGGCGATGAAACTCGAACAGACTACTATATTAATGATTTGGTAAGTGATTTTTTATAACTTAACGAAACTAAAACACATAATGTGTATAATTGGTTAACACCTGTATGGTCTATTGATAGAAGATTGGATTCCTAGTTTTGGTGGTCATAGATCAAATTCAGGCCACTTTAACTACCATAAAAAATAATGTGTAATTGACATTTGGCTCAACCACTTTATGATATGTGACACTCTTTCTGCTATTGGACTAATCCTTTTTGTTGTGATGAAGGTTGTTAATACTTTTTTCAAATTGCTTAAGAAGAGGTCTGATAGATTTCCAAAGGCATATATCAACCACTTTTCATTTGACTCTCAAATAGCTGTAAGAATTAATGATTTTTATCTTGCAAAGAAATTGAAATTGTTCATATATTTCATATAATGGTGATATATATTCAGTAACATGTTACATATGAATTACACAATTATCAGACTTATTTGATTGAAGGAACCAGATCAAAACATGAAGTACTAGCTTGGTTTAAATTTGATCAGAAGCTAACAGGTGTAGAAAAGGCAAGCTTGATGCATTTTCGATATATTGTTCAAAATTTTTTTTTACATATTTTTTGAAAATTGTTTTGTAAAAACTAACAATCGATGCATGCATGTCGTGATTTTTTGTGATTGCAGTTATTTCTACCATTGTGTTTATCTCAACATTGGATTCTATTCTATGTTGATGTCAAGAAGCAGAGATTTTCATGGTTGGATTCAATCGAATCTTCACGAATGTTACATGTTGTTGAAAAAGAAGCAATCTTAGGGTGGTTCAAAAGATTTCTACTGCCAACGTTAGGCTATAATAATGCAAACAAATGGCCATTTGAATTGCGTTACGATATTCCTGTGCAAGAGAAGTAAGAACTCCTTCCAAATCTACAGCTCTTCTACCTTTACATTTGCCTATCATCTTACCATTCTTGCTTCTGGCACTTCAACAGTCTAGTTGATTGTGGCCTATTCGTGATGAAGTATGCTGATTGCCTTACGCATGGTGATGTCTTCCCTTTTACACAACAAGACATGGCACACTTTCGACGTCGCACCTTTCTTGATATATACAAGGGAAGATTGCATTGCCAAAAGTAAGCAAGATTGTTAATTGCCTGGAGTTCATCAAAGGAAGTGTTAGAAAAAAGTCTCAACTCCGAAGGAAAATTATATTCATCCTATGCTCACTATTATTTTTATAAAATCAACATTGAATATCATGAAGAATAAATTATAAACAACTCAATTACCATTTATTTTTACTTTGTTTCTCTAGCTAGCGAAGATGTGGCATTAGGACACAGTTACCAGTAAAATGATATTTCAACTCAGTTACAAAGAAACTGTTTATGATTCATAAACAGTTTTAACCTTCAGCATTTGCTCATGACTATAACCCTTAATGATCCCTTAAACTTAGTATTTATAAATTGTTGTTTGAACCCAAAAAAGGGACGAAGAAAACAAAGGTTGGCGGTTAAGCATTAACTGTGAATCTGTCACTTGGAGTAGAAAATGGGTATGGTTCTTGTTTGGTACAAAGAACCCGTTCGAGAAAATACTAGACTATCATCTATATGATATACTTGAACAGTTTGATACCAAAAAATGTCCATTAATTATCTCTCTTCATGTCATGGTTTGATCCTGTGAGAATCTTTAATATCAGAACCTGATTTCAAGTAGGCAGTCAAATGTAAGGAAGCACTTATTCTTGCACTAGCGTCTTGCGTTTTTAACCCCTAAAAATTAACCTAATATGCAAGAGAAGAAAGAACTTAAATAGGGACTGATTGTCTCACGCCATTCGTGTCGACATTCACTTTAGCCTTTTGCTTTTAGGATTCAGTACTTAGTATGTCATTCTCAGGATTGTTACCTGATTGATTATAACATCAACTCATATGGCACAAGAACAAGAATGTCAAGATTCTTTCATCAAACATGAAGTAACAACCAGGATCTCAAATAATATCTGTCTGTAGGATATCGATATGGATTGGCTAAAACATTTGTGATCAAAATAAAAAAAAAAAAATCAAACACCAGTCTCTCCCAGCTCTGTTGATAGAAATAAAAATTTGTTATACAAGGAAAATGTTCTTCCTTAAGCTCAAGGAAGATGTACAAACGAATACTAGCTTGGTATTACAGATATGTGAAATTATATGCCACAATACAAGGAACATTTCTTGGCCTCTAATTGCAAAGAAAAACATGGACATTGGTACTTGAACCATTTTGATCAACAAAGAAATAGAATTTAAGGGAGACAGAGAGGTAACTGGTCAATAAATAGTAAACATAAAATTTCTATTTAGCTAGCCAAGTGGTTGGGAGAGCTGTTAAACAAACTGTGCCACAAATATGCCCTGGAAAGTACCATTTCAAGCTCTTGATATGTCCGGTTGTGAGTTGGAAGGTGTTGAAGGAACATCACCAACTCTTGGAAATCAAGCTTCTGAAGTTTATCTGACCGCTAAAGATATAGAACAAACCATATATCCATTAGCTTAGCAAGATTCATCAGGATTATGAACAATCATAAAGGAAAAAATTATTTCCATAGGCATTTATGTGACAAAAAGAATTGCAGTTGAATGTTTACAAATCACAGCAGTCAAGATCATCAGCAGAGTCCATGAGGAATCAGATAAATTTTCTGAAGTGTTATCGGAAAATAATGGAAATGATGAAGAGAAAATTCAAGGAAAGAAATAAGAAAAAGCAAAAAAGGAGGTGGATGTTCCTTAGGAACCATGCAGAAGTGAAGTTTAAAGTAGGATATTACACATAACAGAAACAACATAACAGGCCATCGCAGCAATCCAGGAAAACAAGCATCATTCAATTTAAATAGAGTAAATCTGAGAGAACACAAGCTCTTATACCTATGAAGTAAGCAGAAAGAGATACTTGCCTTTGGTTTGGATGTCATCCATCCAATCGCTTAACCCATGGTAATAATTATGTTTTTTTTTTTTGGTGAAAAAGGAGTTTAGGTGAGGGGAGGCTTCCCCTTCCAGGGCCAAAACAGACTGCAAGCCTCATAGAGGACTTACATTGGATTTACAGATCACCCACAAAAGATTAAGAGGACTGCTGGGAGCGGGATCCAAACCTATGCTTTACAAGCAAACTATTCGAACCTTACCAACTCAACCAACCACATTGATGTAATAATTATGTTTTTTGACCAAAGAAATAGTTATAAGAAAAAGAAGCAAGAAAAACCACACACAGACACACGTCTTTTTACTTGAAGAATTATCATAGTTGTATCTCCTTAAGGTTGCGGTCAAAGATGAATGCTTGTAAATTACATCAACACAAAGGAAGTTAAAGCACTCTTCACCGTTAAAAGAAAACTGGCAAACATGTACACAAGGAAATCAGGCAGTGCATCTCCTTCAGCAAGATAGGTGTCCCATAGATGGGTTACCAGATGGAAGGGATCTATTAAACAAAAAAAAGAACAAATAAATAAATCTAACAGAGCCACCAGAAAAATTGAAGGTAGGACCAGTTTGTCAATCAGACAAAATTTGAAAGGCAGGATATTTAAACAAATGCATGTGATAGTGGGATTAAACCTTACCTCACGTATCAGTAGACAGCTGAACCAGCGAAAAGCAAATTGAACAAATTCAAGTCCTTGTTCCTCCATATGCCTAGAAACAGGTTCTGGTACAAGTTAACAGAACAAAGTGTTAACAAGACAAAGAGATGAAATTAGAACATGCAAAAAATAAACAAAACTTTAAGTGAATAAAGAAAATCACATGCACATTATATACAGGGGCATTATTACACATTGTCCACAAAGACAGGCACATGCAAACCTCTTTCTTCCTCTGTAGCCTTAAAAATAAAAGTGCTTGTGGATACACACACACACACACAAAAAAACCTTTCCTTTTTTCTATAACATTAAGATGGATGTTTCTGCACATGCATGCACAACCTCTTGCTTTCTTTAGAACCATTACAAGAAAAAATCTGCACAATAAATGAAGGCTTAAATTCCCTTCATAAAGCAAATGGTGGTTGAGTTCATGAATAAAAAAAAAATTAGGGAGATAATTGAAGGCCCCTAAAGATTTTACCATCAATGCGCCTAACCAATTCCTTCAGCTTAAATACAAGCCTCTGGATTCCTTGTTGAGCAAATGTGTAACGGTCTTGCATTCCATCAAGCAACTTTGATAAGCACCAATAACAATCAGCTTCTATGTTGGAGATGTTCTCTGAAGATATATCAGAAATTGACCAACTATCTATGCTCCCTTCTAAGTACTCTGATAAGAAGACAACTAGAAAGGGTGTGACAAGATCATTTAACCCCTGCACATATCCACTTGCAGGATGCCGAATGGCCTTGTACATGATGTTGAAGAAAAACTTCAATTACCACCAAAACAGGGATCTCACAGCATCTTAAATTGCACAAGTTATAGCTCCATTTGAAATTAATAATTAATAGTCATCAACTATCACTTAAAATAAAGAATTTAAACACATTAATAAGAAAAAAAAAAAGTGATCAGGAAACCACAGTAGAGATTTGCATTAAAACTGGAGCAGCAAAAAGTCAGATTGTAGACTTTAAAGCTCCATGTAATCATAATATCATGACATGACATGATCTAAGCTCTCCAAAATAACAGCAATCATGAGGTCATTATAGTATGGTAGACAGTTCAGGAAGAATCAAAGGATAAATCAGACCAATATTTGAGAGAACTTTTTTTATGTTTACCGTTCAGAGGCCTACTAAACATCAAAGATTTACCAGAAGTTACCCACTAGAATCTGAACTACAGCATACAAATTATTGGGATAGAGCTTAAACAAGTATCTGAGTGACAGGTACATGTCCAACCAAAGTAGTTAAACATCTCCACTTAACACCATTTGGGGTTCCATGTGGATGGTTACTAGAATTAGATTGTAAACTTGTATGATCCTATCAACTTCTAAAAAATTTCAATTTTATAAAAGAGTGTAAAAAATCTGAAAACCATATCCTAACACAGAAGAAGAAAATACTCAAATTTATAAAGGGCAAAAATGAAGCTAGAAGGATGAATTTTCTTGGTTAATCAAAGAAAACAAAGCAGGGATTAAATAAATATAGTAAAATCTAAAATACCATCCAAAATATAATCTATTAACAACTGAATGTGAATGTACAATTAACACTCTATTGGATTGTTGTTTTATTGCTTGCTTTCTACCATTTGTATTTTGCTTCCTCAAATGTTGCTTTGAAGCAGTCACAAATAGTGAAACAAGAAATCGTCATACCATATGATATGTATAATTAAAATGAGTAATAGTTAAAAAAACTAATTCAAACGTAATTGTTCCGCATAGAAGAATCAAACATTCTGTTATCCATAAAACCAGAAGTTTTAATTTTCAATTCTTAAAAAATATTGCGTCTTACATGTTATAAGAAAGCCATCAATAAATTTGAATTCACCAATCCTAATAGTATCTTACCATGTATAAAGAATGCGCTCCAAGGATTTTTGAACTGGTGCTTGCTGAAAGAAAGCAACATCAGGTACAGTTCTAGGACAATCAACAGCAATCTAACAAATAGAATAAACAAATTTGTTAATAATTGGGTATAGAAGGTGGACAATCGAGTTTGGGAATTAAGTAAGGGCTAAAGGTACCTGGAGAAGCATATTAATCTCATCATCTGACTGTTGAGTGTCTGGAATGTCATAAAATTGAGCAACACAATTAAGATACTCAAGGCGTTTCCTCCTTAGAACTCCCTCCTTTCTATCTGAATTAGGTGGTGCATATCCCTGTTGTCAGTTCATACTTTAATTTCAAACAAGCAAACAAATCTATTTAATAAAGACAACCTATATCCATTAGACAACACATTAGTTAAACCTGTATATCAAATATGAGACATGTAGATTCTTCCGCTCTAAAAAATGGCCTCATTGGTTCCATAATTGGAACAGACAGCCACCAAGACTATACAACAAAGAAAAAACCAACTCCCTTGAGAGAAATTGCATTTGTAACAAACTAAAACCAATACCTCCTAAAAAAGATACATATGACACTAAAAGCAGAGCCCATGGCATCATTAAAAAGAAGCAACCAATCATACCAGGAATAAAGCAATTAACATGTTATAAAGTTTTAAAAGCACAATCCTGTGGATCATATAGGAATCGTTTATTTGGAGGATTCTACAAGATTGATAAAATTAAAGTTGACAGCAATTAACCAAAAAATCATTAATATCATTGTAATCCTAATAGGGAAAAAATTTTCAACCTTTGCAGAAAAGAAGAGGATCAAATGGGTTCAAACAGTTCAAGTCCTCCTGATGCCTAAAACTGATAGTTTAGTTAGATCATCAAGCTTACCAGCAGAAGTCTCCATATGTTAGGATGCATGTAAGGTGGAACACCACTCCAAGCTAACTCACGTAATCTCTCTGCACAATGACATGATAATCAAATCAAACATATGTCCTATTAATAAAAAGATTGTGAAAGTAGAGCTTAGAAAAAGCGAAGGAAAGGCAAAAGTCTAGTTTCTATGTCACATCAAGAAAGAGGTACTGATTGCTAAATTAAAGTGTTTATTAATACAAATTAACACAGATAAAAGTGCGTAAAGAATGACAATATACCAGAATGAACATGATCTATATATACATCAGAGTACAGAATGAAGATGTCAAGCCCAAACAAGCAGTATTTTGATTCTTGTTAATAGAAAGGAGAATGTGCTTTAATAAACCAGTTCATTTAGTGATATGAACATTTACCTTTAGATTGCATGTAGTCCTGCAGTATTTTTAATTTATACAAAACTAAATATATCTTAATGTCATCATGCTATCCCAAACTTTACAAATAACTTAAATTAATCATGTCATCACCAATTGATGAGAAACAAGCATCCACCTTTGAAACAGCTTCTATACTAAATGAGCACAAGCTATGTGGTTTGCAACCGAAAGCTAAGAACATTTATCAACAAGTCAATTTTAAACCTCTATTTTGAGCTAGACTGAATAGCCTATAGAGTCTACTTCAATTTCACTCTATAGTACCTTTTGCATGGCTCTACTCAAGTAATACTTTTGAAAAAATTTCAATGGGGTTAAACAATCTCCAATAAATATATGAATCATTCTGCAAACAACAAAGTAGACATGGTACCTAATATGACCATTTGCCCTGAGAGCTCTCTGGTAAACTTCGTAACCCTGACAGAATCTGTAGCTCTAGCGTCCATCACAGACTTATGGACTTCTTTAGCATTATTCTCAATGTTTGAGGTTGAAGATCTTAACTTATTAGTTGTATTACTATCTGAGTTATTAGTATTCTGACCCCTCCCTACATGATAGAAAAGTTTTTTGGTTAATAATATTACTGTCTTTTAAAGAACTGTAAAAGTCATCACTGGTACTGAATAATCATTTTCGGAACCGTAGTAATAAAATAATTATTTGAGTCATGATATAAACTCTGAAAGTCACCTCCATGGACTTGTCCATGTCATAAATTGTGCCAGCATCATTCTGTGAGAAGCTTCTTTGATAACTAGGAGATCGTTCCTCCAAGCCTGAATTGTCGAGTGGATCCGGCCTTCTGGTCAATAACACTTTACCAGGAATACTGCGACCTTTAAGCAAACTTAACAACAGGCATAAAAGAAAATTATTGTTTGTGTCCAAAGTAATAATTGTGAAAGAGGCAAGTGCATAGAGCAAAGATAAAAATGGAGTGTCCACAGAAACTTTAGTGCAATAGTTACAAAATTTATTGACATGTACTCTCAGTATTTGCATTTATACTCAAAATAAAAGTAGAAACCACCACGAATTTCATAACACTCATAAAAGCCACATGGACAAGGTAATAAAGATGATACAACAAGAAAAGGAAACTTTATTGAAGAGGAAAATTTTTTAGTTTGACCTCTTTACACTCAAAGAGAAATGCATTAAGAAATTAGCACTGATCTTCAGGCAATTTGCATTAAGAAATCCAAGATATGTGATCTTTAGTCAGCACATAGAAAACATATAGTAACATTTTTGTTCCATAACTTCACATTCAATAATTGTCCTTTCTTTGATTAGGAAAAACCAAGCTAAATGAAAAGTAATAACCTTTTGTGAATCCCTCTGATTCCTATATTTCTCTGACCATAATGTCATAATAATCAAATTACAGCATACATCAAAATCGAGACATTTTCGTGGCAAAAGAAGTTAAATTCCATAACCTAAGCACAAAGAATCATCTAGCAAATGAAAGAGAAACTGGTGGTTATGCCATTAAGTATAACTTGAAAGATCTAACTTTAATTCCCAAAAGGGTCCATAAATCTAAGTGCAAACCGCAACAATTTATACCCAAAAAAAAGAAATGAAACATTTTGGGAAATTAAAGTTTCCCTATTGAAGAGGAAAATTCTACCACATGACTTGAGAATTGGAAGTGAAATTCGAAAGATTCGAAGATATTTCTAAAATGGGTATCCAAATCCAATGACAAAAACACAAGAAGAAGAATCCAGATTCAACATTGAGAAACAAAAGAGATAACAAAAATAGAGAAAGAAAAGAAATGGGGAATTGGAAAAGCAAAAGGAGGTACCCTTGGACATTTCTGAGGGTCTGGTTGAATCGTGAATCAAGGCTTTCTTTCTCACGCTGATGTTCTTCTCCATGGCTGTTGTTGTTCATGGTTTTGATATTAGGCGTTGCTGTGGAAGAGCTTGCTCAGTTTTTATTCCTTCTCACTCCTTTTCTTCTTTCAATCTCATATTCTCCCTTCGAAAAGAAGCTCAATGGAAACATGCACACTTGAGAAGTTAAGATTGCCTAACAAAACAATTTAGAATTCAGAATTTGAAGTTTCATTTTAAAATGAAAGTGAAATTATGAGAAAAGGTTAACAATTAAAAATTAATTTAATTTTTTATTAAAAGTTAGTAACTTTTTTATATTTTTACATCTCATAATTTATTAATATTCAAAATAATTAAAGATGCAATCAGTATATTAATACTCTTATATTATTTAAATTAATAGATTATTATTAAATTAAATTTTAATAATTTTAATTTATTAAATGAGATAAATTTAAATATTTAAATATTTAATTTAAATAATTTTTAAATTTAATTGAATTTTTATATTTTAATATATATTTTAATTATTTTAATTAAAAATTATTATTTTACATAAATATATGATTAGTTTAATTTTAAATAATTTAAAATTAAATATGATAATCGAGTTTTTTATTTAATAAATAAATTTAATTGAATAAATTTCAATAATTTAATTTTTATTTTAAATGGACTTTAAATTTAAAATTTAATCAAATTTAAACTAAATTTAAAACAAAAATTTTGAATCAAATTTAAATTTAAAATTTTATTATATCGACTCCGTCGATTCCATTACCCAAAAGTAATTGCCCGAGACTCATAACAGGTCAGCCATGAGGCTCTCATGGGTTGGGCTATGCCAAGCCGAGAGCAAGACCCATGTTTAATTTTCTTTTAATATTTTTAATAATTTCTTTAACTTCTCCAAACGTATTCATGTCTGATATCTTGTCTCGGCCCGTGATCTCACTCACTCCGGACCAAGTTCCCATGTTTTGAGTTTCTGAATTTCTTGGCTTTGGATCGGAGTTTGACTTGTGGTTTCCTTTGCTCCTATATTTACCACTGCTGCCAAGTTCGTGATTTCTGGTTTGCATCTAATACTCAGTTGCCCATTTTCATTTTTCTTTGGCTTTTTTGCTTTTGCTTATGCGATGTTTATGCCTTAGTTAAGCTTTGGGTTGTCTAGATTTGGATTCATATTTGGATTTCTCAAGTTTCTGAATCTTGGGTTTTTCATATAACAAGGAAATCTTCTCATAGTTGCAGAGACTTATACTTGATGGATCAGAAAGCGAGAGAGAGAGAGAGAGAGATACAGAGATTTCAGGTCAAGAATCAAAATTTGGTGTCAGCCTAGATATATTGATTTATTTGTTTGCAATTAAAAGTTATAGAACTTAGCAAGAAATTGTAACTGTTTGACAACTATAGACAAATTCTTGGTATAACGATTGCACTCTTGGCCTTTTAAAGAGAAAGCTAAAACTGGAGAAATTGCTTGTTGGTGTTAACATGGCTGCCATTGTTTTATTTTTCTTCTTGACATCGAAAAGCTTAGAGATTTATTATGTGGATCAAAAGTTTTTATGTTCTGATAGTTAAAAGGTTTTATATAAATCTAGTTGCAGCTTGTCTATTTCAAAAGCATTATAAAAGATTCTGTTTATATTTCTAAACTGATGTTCTAGTTAGCTGGAAAGTGAAAAAAAAAAAGTAACTTATGTGGGTTTGACGTTCTTGTTTTCTCTATGAGTACATTAAACTCTCATATGTTTCTTAATTTTCAATAATCTGACTGATCTATATCAATATTATGCACTCTTCTAAATTTTCGAAATTTCATTTAAAGACTGGATTTTGGGTACAACTATGCTTTTAGCTACAACATTTGGAACTCAGTGATGATAAAGTTATACAGATATATTGACTATAATTTAGATAATATTGATGCTGAGTTGTTGTGAAGGATAATCTCTCCCTCCCTCTCCCTCTCTCTCTCTCTCTCTCTCTCTCTCTCCCTCTCTCTAATCATGCGTACAAACATGAATGTGTGCACTCAGACTAATGGAGACAATAGTCTTTGTATCGATGACTTGGAGTACCTTCATTAATTGAAAATATTAATTGATACCCCAAATGCTCTATGCTGTTTAACACACTGTGTCAACTAGTCCTCCACCTTTTGAGCATATAGATTATGGTTAGGAATTATTACTATTTCTCTCTTCTTTTGTTCTCCTTCCCAGGAGCTCTCTACATAGACATTTATGGTCACTAAATTTCAGTTTGTGTGTGCTTTGACACCCTTGTCTGCATGTAATACACTTTCCATATGCCCTATGACCTTAAGTTTTTCTCTCCTTTGATGTTAGGATTCTGTCGACCAGAGTTGATCTTGCCATATCACAAGGATGACAACTACAGCTTGTTTTATCATTGTAAGCCGAAATGACATCCCAATATATGAAGCTGAAGTGGGGTCTGCTGCTAAAGTATGATCTTTTTTCACATCTTTCAGCATATTTATTCCTTGTAATAAAATTCTATTTTGTACACATCTGGAAGCCCAAAAGTAAGATGTAGGATTTGTATCTGTTTGGGCATGGTTATATTTTTCTTCACATTGCAAGATGTGCAAGTGGCCTAGAATTGTTTTGTTATACTTGCTTGGGCATTTATACCTTTCTTGTCAAGGTTCATATTCTGTAGTTTTAACCTTCTGATTATCTAGGAGTAATACTTTTGCAATGACTCTGAAGGAAATCATGCCCATATGCTGGAGAAAGAACATTCAAAAATTAATTGAATGTCATATTTGCTTAGCATTATCAGAACTTTAAGTTGATAAAAATTGTTTGGGTCAAATTAATTATCTGGATGTGTTTCTTTACATCATGATGTTATTTTTGTGTCATTAGCAATTTTTATATATTTTGTATTTGTTTTATTTTTCTTCTCCTTTTTTATATGATCAGGGGTGATTGGATTCCATTAGATTAAAGTATTTTTAACTTATAAAACACTCACAATGCTTTTATGTGTTTTGGCCTTGTGTCAGAAGCTGTTGTTACTTGTTTCTGTCTCTCTGACTGCATTGCTCAATGTAGAGAGAAGATGCTGCTCAGCTGCATCAATTCATATTACATGCAGCTCTGGATATCGTTCAAGACCTTGCATGGACCACTAGTGCGATGTGAGTTCTATTTTTCACGGTACATCCATTTTATCATATTATAAAGAACTTACCGAGTTTTTGCTGTTTCTATTTCATTTTACCACAAAATATCTTGATGACTTGCATTTACATTTCTTTTGCAGGTTCTTGAAAGCAATTGACAGATTCAATGATTTAGTGGTATCAGTTTATGTAACAGCAGGTCATATCCTTTATATTTACTGAACTGACTTACATCATAACATATAAATATATGATTTATATGTTAAGTACACATACAATATTCAATTTTTTGACAATTATCAAGAATCAAATTAAGGGGAAAAAATGTTTGCCATTTAAATGAATGGCCTCATGTACACTATGGATAATTGTAGATTGTTTGGTTTAAAGCACAGTATTTAGATCTTAAAAACACACTCTAGTTGTGTATCTCAACCATCTTGTTGTTTGGCTCATGTTAGTGCTGTTAACAGTCATGGCCATAATATTATTTGCTGCTCCTATGGGTATGTTTTGGCAGCCATTAAGGGCATGCTGCTCTGCCTCCATTGTAGAGCTGTGTAAACTTTGACATCTTACTATTCATAAATGAATCATTCTGGTAGAACATCCTCTACCATATGGCTGTATGGGTTCCTTTCAGTGTTGTGGCTTCTCTATGTGGTTGTTGGACTGGACATGCTAAGCAGTATGTTAGCATCACATAGCTACTAAATCTGTAAGTGAGAAGAGCTGTGAAGTTCTTTTCTTCTTCTATCATCTATATTACCATGTCTATTGTTGTTAGTAACTTGTTCTAGTATTTAGAAGGCTTGAGAGTGTACCATTCCCATCACATTTATATTTTGTTATTGGTGTCACCAGTTCCAATTTAATATTTCCTTGACTTTATCATACATACACGATTTATGCTACTTCATGACTCTCGTAATGATGATGGAATCAAGAGCTTTTTTCAAGAGGTCCATGAGCTTTATATAAAGGTAAGTACCTCCCCCAACATCTCCTGTTAGCTCCTTTTCTGGATAGTTATGCTTTTGTACATTCTTGATGGGTACCTCAAAAGCTTTCTTTTGCGTTATCTTTAATCATTTTAACGCATTTCAACTACTAGCCCTACTATACGAAAAATTTTCAACCAGGATATACCATTATTTGGCCTTATCAACTTTTCAGTAGTAATTTTTGTTGGAAAAATCCTCATTTCTTTCCTTTTATGTAATGACATTTGATGTTTTGCTGATGTTTCATTATCTGAAATTTTGGTAATTGGCAGATTCTTCTTAATCCACTCTACTTGCCTGGTTCACGCATTACATCATCACATTTTGATACAAAAGTTCGTGCCCTTGCAAGAAAATATCTATAGGCAGTCACTTGTCATGTTAAAGAACTTGAGATGTTACGCAAATGAGCTTTGCACAATTCTGCTCCCTCTAACCTCTCTCTCTTGTCACATTTGATCATATATGGTGAAAAACAAAGCTTTTTCGGATTTCAGTTTGTGTTTACATAATTACTGGCTTTGTTTTTCACTCTTTAGGCTTTTCTCTGTTTATGCATTTATCGCAAATAGTAAACGACAACATGTTTGGAAAGTGATTCATGTTAATGGTAATCAAATGATAACATCTGATGGCATTTAGCAATTCCGAGGCATTGATCTGTTGTTCTGAGGGTTTGATCAATAATTTCTTTTACTGTTCTGAGGGAGAAATCATTTATGCAGTTCCTTTAGGACATTTCTTTCCTCATGTTTTGTACACATTCCATAAGATCATTGGTTGGTACCAGTTCTTGTCATGGTTTTTTCAACTTTCAATGAATCTTCCAAGGAAAAACCAAAGTGCCATTTTTTTTTTCTTTCAGCTGATGGACGATAGGTGTGGATGCAGCGTAGCAAACTGAATGTTTTCTTTTTGGTTAAGAATGAAGAAAAAGGACACGTCATTCACTCAAAAACGATAAATTCAAAAGCAATTGATTTGAATTAACGCGTAATTTCGCATTAACCACATGCGTATGGTGTTGTAGGCTTGTAGTGTGCCTTTGAGCTCGGATCATAATCTTGACTTTAGGTTTTATAGCTTTTGTTTTCCATAATAACAGTGTGAAACTTGGAAGATGTGGAAAGCAAAAGTTGAACGTCTCTAAGGTATCCAATGTAGATAAACAAATATTTTAATAGTAGTAGTAATAAGTTTTTCATAATGAAGGGAGCAGTTAAATAATTAAACATAAAAATTCAGAACTTAACTTTTTTTTTTATTCGTATAAGTAATTATTTTTAAAATATGATATTTTATAAATTTAAAATTTAATTTTCGATATATGTAAATTTTTTTTATTTTTGATTGCTTTTGTAATTGTACAAAAAAATAAAACATATAAATATATTTATAATTTTTGGTCTTTAAAACTACAATTGAATTCAAAGGAAAGCAATTCAAATTCGACACAAAGTTAAAGAATTTTACATTATTTAATACTTACAAACTCTAATTATCATTTACTTTCGTAGGTTTTTAGGAGAAATAAAAGAAAAAAAAATGATAAAACGCAGCGTTTTAACGAAAGGGAAGGTTACTTGAAATAGTAAGTCGGGTAAAGAAAAACAAAAGGAAACACGAAACCGAAGAGAAGATAAAAAAAAAAAAAGGTGTAAAGTTGGCTTCGCTGCTCTCAAGTCTCTAACTTTATCTACGCTCAGCAGAGCAGCAGCGACCCCATTTCTCACTCACTCACTCATCACACAAAGAAACAAAAGCCCCCCATTTTATTTACTGTTATCATTATTATTAGTAGGGTTTTCCCCTAAATTATAAACAAAATAATAATAATAATAATAATTGGTCCTTTTTCACCCACCGATTCAACCCTCCTTATGATTTGATATTTTTTCCCCTAAATTTTCACCAGAATATGTTATGTGTTCCACATCTTCAGGTAGCTTTTTCTTTCCCTCTTTTTGGGTTTTTTTTTTTTTGTTGGTTTGGGTGTTTGATAGCTGAGAAAATGCTGGAAAAGGAAGGAAATTTGGGTAAAGTTTGGGTTTTTTGCTTCTTTTTTTATTGTTTTGTTATTTGGGGTTTTTAAGCTAACTCTTCTTTGTTTGGTGAGAGGAGAGTAAACTAGAAGTTTGTCCTTATGATTTGATATCTTTTTCCCCTAAATTTTCACCACTGTATGTTATGTGTTCCACTTCTTCAGGTAACTTTTTCTTTCCCTCTTTTTGGGTTTTTTTTTTTTTTGGGTGTTTGGTAGCTGAGAAAATGCTGAAAAAGGAAGGAAATTTGGGTGAAGTTTGGGTTTTTTATGCTTCTTTTTCCCTTTTTGTTTTTTGGGGTTTTTGAGCTAACTCTTCTTTGTTTGGTGAGAGAAGAGTAAACTAGAAGTGTGAGCTTAGATTTTTTATTTTTGTTTATGTTCCCTTTTTTGGAAGCCTAATCTGGTGGTGGTGGGTGGAGTTTAGATCAATTTTGTTTTTGTTGAGATATGTGCAACTTCTTCCTTGTGCAGCTGAGTAAGATTTGAGAAATTTGAGAGTTTGATTCTTGATTTAGTGTTTCTTTTTTTAGGGAAATTTGTTGCTTTTCTTAAGCTTGATGTGATTATCTGGTTTGGTTTTGTTATTTATGCTTAAGATATTGCTTAGTCTTGTGTTTGCTAATCTAAGAAATTGTCCGGAAAAAAAGGGCAAAATGGATTTTTTGTTTCCCTTAATTGTAACTTTCCTGAACAAAATCCTGTTAAAAAAAAGGAAAATTAAGAAAATTGAACTTTAGATGATCAACTACAGTGGTTGAACCATTGTTTTCCATTTTGCTTACATGCAATGCAAGAAAGGAAATATTGTTTCTAGTTCTGCTAAATTTAGCTTAACTAATTGCTTGGTTTTTTGGGCTAGAGTTTTTGTTATGATATGTCTAATCTTTTGTTTGTCATCAGAAAAGGAAAGAAATAAAAGAACTTGATACAAATTACCAGTGTTGTGAGCCTACTTGAAACTTTGTATGTATTCTGACAATACCGTGTGATGCTGCAGTATTTCTGAAAAAGAAACAATTTATATGGAACTTATCATCAATGTTTAAGTACGCTACATTTTGTTGCTATTCTGTCAAAATGGATTGAAGATATTATGCTAATTTATTGTATGCAAGGATAAATATTTACATTTAGTTTTATCATTTGTTCCTGCGAATGGATTTTTCTTTTTCACACCAGCCCTAACACTTGAAGCTGATACAGGTTTTACTGCATTGCTGCATTCGTAGTTACGGTGTTTAATCAACTACATTAGGGTTTTCTGCTGCATGATTCAATGGTGCCAGAGGGCTAGAAGAGCTATGGACTGTTTTAAGACTGTTAGCCGTCTTAAAGGCAAGATGTTTTAATTTGATAATTGTAACTACTTATCTATAGTTATAGACTAGGCATTCTGCAGTTAAAAAAGCAGAGGGCGTGCTAAAAACTTGATGTTATAAACGTTTTGGGTTGGCTTTTGTTAAGAGTGACTTATTCATTATGTGACACTGGGCTTGATTTGGTGAGAATATTGAATTATGATTGAGTGTTAATATTTCAACAGACATTTGAATTCAGTCTGTAGTCTATTTTTTGTCGAACTTTTAGCTGTGCTTAATTTATTGGGCAAGTTCTCCTGAGTTGTCAAGTTGTACCATTTGTTTCTAAACTTGCTGGTGTGGTATATTTTTTACTTTGAAGATCCCACTTATATGGAATTCTTAGAGGAGTCATACTGAAGAAAGAAGTGACAAATGAACTTTTAAGTTGTAACCAATGGTACATTTTAGCAAGCTTTGACATTTAAAGAACAGCATTCATCCCAATTAGTGGCTAACCATCATTATATTTTATTAGAGTTACCAGTTCTGCCTATATACCTTAGTTCTTTCTCTCTATCTTTCTAGCTGAGAATGTACATGGTGCTTCAGCTTTGATCTTAATAGCCTTCTTTCTAGACCTTGTGCAGTTAGCGTATATGACAAGACAATTTAGTGCTCTCTCTCTCTCTCTCTCTTATATCTATCTTTTGAATAATTATCCTTTTATGACACAAATCTGGCTTGTTTCCATTGCAGGTTCCCTGTGCCAACAGTTATTACTATTCATTCTCTGGTTATCCAGTTTCCAAGATGTAGCCGCATCGCAGATATTGCTCGACTCTAGTCATATTTCTTCTACATCTGAGCTAGCTAATCCACCAAATCCACCAACTACTGGATTATTTGAACCTATAGAAATATCCCCTGCTGTCATTCCTCGTTACCCGTATCCTGGTGAATCTTTGCCACCTATGTACCCAACTTTTCCCACCACATATGAACCAAATTTAACGGGAAGGTGCCCTGTAAATTTTTCTGCAATGTCGAATATCATGGAGAAGACGGCATCTGATTGTTCTCTACCATTGGCGGCAATTGTAGGAAATGTAATATGTTGTCCACAGCTTGGTAGTTTACTCCACATCTTCCAGGGTTACTACAGTATCAACTCTGATAAGTTGGTCTTGCGAAATGCTGTTGCTAATGATTGTTTTTCAGATATCATTAGTATCTTAGCTAGCAGAGGGGCCAACAGTACAATACCTACACTTTGCTCTGTAAAATCATCAAATCTGACAGGTGGGTCTTGTCTGGTGAAGGATGTTAATACCTTTGAGAAAACAGTTAATACAAGCAAGTTATTGGAGGCTTGCAGCATTGTTGATCCTCTAAAGGAGTGCTGCAGGCCAGTTTGCCAATCTGCAATTATGGAAGCTGCTCTACAGATTTCTGGAACACAAATGATGCTCAATGAGAATAAAAATGTGGTTGGGGAGACTAATCATATTGATGCCATCAATGACTGTAAAGGGGTGGTATATTCATATCTTTCAAGGAAGCTTCCACCAGATGTGGCAAACACTGCATTCCGAATACTATCTGCCTGCAAAGTCAACAAGGGTACAGCTTCTACGTATCTTGCATGATTGTTGTTCGGTATTTATTTTACCTACTGGTCTGGCTGTTTGTGATACCCAAGTTTATGTGAACTTGCTTGAGTGTCTATTTTACCATTGGAAATTTTCTAGTTGAGATGATCTTATGTAGCATGGAACCATCATTTGGTGAAGAATTGAAAGTGGAGGATTTGGGTAGTCTGAATGGATAGTAGATTTACGTCTAAATTACCTTCTCCCTTTATGTATCTGTTTTTCTTTGATGTTGGTTCATTTTTATTTCCTTCCACTTGTTTCTACCACAATCCTTTTATATAGGGCACAATATACTCCAATATGAAGGACAAGGTAAAATTACAGCTTCAATTTCCAATATTAGACCAGTGCTATCTAGGCCAAGAAATAACTAGATTTTAAATAGGTTAATTTGAGTTTCTCCAACTTACATAACAAAATAGGGTCAAGTAATGCTTAGTTTTCTAACGTCCTTGAGTGTAAGCTTTGTTAATCATATATTCTATCTTTTTAATTTCCTATTTAATTTCACAGAGTTATTTGCCCTTATTTCAAATGATTTATGAGATTTATATTTTATCTACAATGGGATAAATATTTTTGCATGTGCAGTTTGCCCTTTGGAATTTAACCAGCCCTCAGAAGTAATAAAGGCATGCCGTAATGTAGCTGCTCCCAGTCCTTTATGTTGTAGCTCATTAAATACTTACATTGCGGGGATACAGAAGCAAATGTTAATTACAAACAAGCAAGCCATAATCTGTGCAACTATGTTTGGGTCAATATTAAGAAAAGGTGGAGTTATGACAAATGTTTATGAGCTTTGTGATGTTGACTTAAAAGATTTTAGCATCCAAGGTATAGTATTCTGTTTGATGTAGTTCTTCTAATCTTCTAACACTTTGTCCATTTTACTCTACTGTTTTATCTGATGTTGAGGTTTTCTTTTCTCTCTGCCTATTGAATTCTGTGCGGTTGCTGCAACAGTATATGGTCAACAAGGTTCGTTTTGTTTTCTGATCTCCTTCTTCCCCCCCCCCCCCCCACACAAAAAAAAAAATTGCACATGCATTGGTTAACAATAGAAATGGCGTGCGCGTGTGCGTGTGTGCATGTGCGTATGCAGCCGCTGGCTGGACACCTAAGAGTCATCAATTGACCCCTTTTTACATACTAGAAAATTTTTACTCTTTTATCTGTTTCAGACTTTTTCCTAGTTTGATATATGCATTAATTACATAGATGATTATGCCCTAAAGTTTGAAAGAAATTCATATCTACCCTAAGGACTGAAAATTTGGGTATTTTCTACATATCTAGGATGCCTACTACGAAGCTTGCCATCAGATATGGTATTTGACAATTCAACAGGCTACAGCTTTACATGTGATTTGACTGACAATATTGCAGCTCCATGGCCTTCCTCATCTTCAATGTCGTCCTTGTCTCTTTGTGTTCCAGGTAATTGTTTGAGAAAGAATAATTTCTGTATGTTTACTTTTACTTAGAAGGGATCAACACAGTTAAAGTGGGGATTCAATAAGGAGCATGTTTGCCTTGTTTCTTCATCTTAATGTCCTAATGGCTGCTGCTGCTGCTGTAGCAGAGATGTCATTGCCCGCCTTACCAACATCGGACATGCTGAAAAATACTGGTGTGTAACATTTATTATTTGTATTTCCTTTCTGTTTGGTTAACTACATAGAAGCATGTGGCAAATGAGAGGCTTAAGATAGCAGATAAGAGGCTGTTTAATAGTATGTGTAGTAAATGACACCATAGCTTGTCATAGAAATTCTGATCGTGCCTTGCCAAGAGTTTAATAACAATAAATAAAATGATAGAAGCTAAGACTAACATCCTATACCGAAATTTTAAAATAACAAATAAAACAACCGATTACCACAATAAATGTTTTATGGATGCTGGTGTTTGACATGTTAAAAGGATCTTTTAGGAGTTAGAATCAAGAATTGTGATGTCTTGATTCAGACATGCATAGTCGGAATGTGGCTAAGATGAGGGTTAATTTAAGTGATTTGTATATTAAAATCACAGCATATTGTATTTTTATATGAACAATTTCTTCATGCAGGCTGCCATGGTTGCACGTTGGAAATCTTGGTACCCATTTTTTCATTTTTTGTTTTCAGTACATTTTTGTACTGAAGAGAGTTATAGAGTGAGGGATTGAGCCGGTTTGAAGTTGTAGGGGTTTTCAGTAATTGACTATGTCATGTGTGGGGAATTTACATGTATATTTTGAGTAAACCTTCTTCGTGTATAGTAGTATCTATTTCTTTCCTCTTTCTTTTTAGACAATTCCATCTCCTTTCATTGCTTTCTCTTTCTCTCTCAATTTTCCTGGAATGTTGAGGGAAGAAGCTGGCTTTTTTATTGGATTAATGTTATGAATAATCTATTAATTATAGTGAAATATTTAACATAATATTTAAATATAAAATTTTTTTAATATGGTATTTAAATTATAAATTTGATAAGTAATATAATACTTGAAAGATTTTTTATCTATCACGTATCATCATTTGAAATTAATCACATTAAAAATAAATATTATATTAATTAACAAATTTATAATTTAAGTATTACGTTAAAAATTTTTAAAATCCAGATATCATATTATATTTCAGTATATTTTAAGTGTTATTTATAATATTAATCCTTTCTTATTTCAAAGCTCTAATAATGTGGTGGAAAAGTTGCACCTTCACCTACTAGCTCCTCGAGAAAGAAGTCATAACAGAAAACAAAAAAAATGCTTTGAAAATACCTTAAAGCATTGTAGGAATTGAATTTTTGTTGTCCTAATAAATTATTTTCTCACCAAAAAATTTAAGATTTGGTTTAATTGATATTTTGTATTTACCTTTTTGTTATTTGTATTACGAGAGAAAAAAAAGCAAATAATAAAGAGTAAAAATATCAATGAAAAGGGGTTTAAAACTTTAGAATATCACTCTTAATAGTGTCAGTGAAAAATATTATAGACTAAAAATGAAAAATAATGTAACAACAATTATAATATGATTAAATTAAATAAAAATTATCAAAACCAATTATTATCATTGTAATTACATTTGTTAGCTTTTTTTTTTATAATTTTTAAATTTATAAGTGCATTTCCTCTTTAATCCTTTTACTATTTAATTATTTAATTACAATAAAAATAATTATAAATTTTATCCTTTTTAATTTTTTATAAAAGGCAGTTGTGGCTAGACTAAAAAAAGAGAAGTATTAAAATTTCAATTTCAATTTAATAAATGTAACAAGTGACTATATAAATTAATTAAAATTTGTCACTCAATTGCATCAAATACATATTTTATTATTAATTTTGATTTCATTACTATAATAGTCAATTTTATCTTTGTAACAATTAATTTCATTTTTATTATTATTTTGAATCTCATTAAAATTAATATAACCGTTTATCCAAATAAATCATAAACTCATACTTTTATTTAATAATAAAATTTTAATTTTAATTTTATTAAATATTATTTTTTAAAAATAATTTTGGAAACCTATCCAACTAAACACTAATTCATTAAAAAATTTTCCTAAATTTCTCTCAATTTGGTAGTCCCCAAAATATAATTATAAGATAGTATTAATTTAACAAAATAAAATATTCCTAAGCCGAGCCGAAGCCAAATTAGAGTCGGAGCTTTCTTCCTACCATCTTAAACCCCCTTTCAACTAAACCCTAATTTCTCTCTCTCTTTCTCTCACTGTTTCTAATTTTGTTTCTCACAATTACAGTAAGGAATGGAGAAGTTTCATCAAACAGATTGCACCCAGATCTTGTCGCATATCAAGGATCAAGAGAAGCTGCTTAATCTCAAAAGAAGGTTCTTTTTTTTTTTTTCATTAAGTTTATTCTCTTTGATTTCATCCAAAATAATACGCTTTTGCATTTAATCTCGCAATTCTTCAAATCAGGTAGCGTATATCTAATATAAAATCTTGTCCGTGGTGTTCTTTTTAGTACTAATATTTTTTTTTTCATATTTTGTTATTATTATTACTATTTGGTGAACGGAATCACTGGTAAAATCAATGTCACTGGATAGGGTTATGTTTTGCGGTCTTGAATGTTGATCTAAGTGGGATTAGGTGAACTGGGGAATGTGTTTGGTTATTGTTACGAAAATGCTTTTGGCGCAGTATGGTGGTTTATGTTTGTGTTGGAACTAGGGCAGGGTTACTTATTGAGGTTCTGTGCAGGTGGTTGATGGGACTTTCCACTTCCCGGTCGAAAAAGAAGCAACTCAAGGAACCCAAGTTTTTTAAGTACAAGTGGGAAGCCTTTATTCTACTCTCACAACAAATTTTGTGTATGCATTTTTGTTCTTGTTGTTTTGTTTGCTGTAATGGTAAATCTTACTGCATTTGTGGTTGGTTCTGTCGTCCAGGACTTTGCCTGAATCGTTTCTGAGGGAGGATGATGTAAGTTAATTCAACATTGTGATACTGGTGGATATTGTGTTCTTGTACTTCCGTAATTTGCTACAGTAGAAATATATATTTTTTTGTAAAAAAATGTTCTTGCTACTGTATTTTGCAGATATTCTATGAGACTATTAAAGCTCACGTTGAAGAAGCCTTTGGAGCACGTAATTTTGAAAGAGGAAGTCATGTTATTCAAGATGGTGTCCAATCATTTGATGCACCCAAGATAATGGGAGTCATTTTTTCATGCCTCGATGCTTTGACTAATAATGGGCTTTGCCTTATTGCTATGATACTCTCAGGATCCTTAGGACATTTTGAGAAAACTAGGTACCAAATGAAAAAAGTTATTAGAGAATCTTTGCCGAGATGTTTGGGCAGCGAAAATCATGATCATAAGCAAAAGGCGACTATCATGCAGCTATATAACGTTCTCAATGATCCTCAAAATTTTCGGAACAATACTATGAAATCGATGACTCCAGCATTTCAATTTGATCATGCTGCTGCGACCCATGTACTGGATGGATTGGAGGATTTGCCTTTCCAGACCTTGATTGCAATGGACAGGAAGCTTAGATGTCTCAAAAGAGTGCCCCAGTTACAGGCTTGTGAACGGGGTAAGAAACGCAAACGATTAATTAAGAACGTGAGTAAAACAGCTAAAACGATGCTTGTGGATCTTGATAAAGTGGGTAAACTACGAGAGCCATTAGCTAAAGCTTTGGCAGTAGCTGACTTATCACTAAAGCTAACTACGGGCTGCCGAAATTCCTCCACGACAAGCTTTCACCAATTCTCACCTGAAATTGTAAGCTTGCAGGATGATATTGTGAAGGCTATTTGGATTCTTAAAACGAAGATTAGATTTCCGGAGCTGAAAACCTTAAAGCTTTTGTTGGATCCAAATGTTGCTATATCAAATCGTTCTTTGAGAGGAGCAATTACAAATATGTTAACAGAGTTTCTCTTTGAGTGCAATGATATGGATACAATTCCCAAGTCTTTATTAGAAACTCTTTCTGTTATTAACGAGGATTCCCGATCTATGCCACATGGACGCTTCCTTAAGGATGATATTGAAGAAGAGGTAGAATCTATACTAAGTGTGAGTGCTCAGATGAAACAAATTGTTTGGGATGTGCTTCCTGATCATGAGTTAGATGAGGAATTTGCTGATGCATATGGGGAAGAATTAGAAGGAAGTGATGATGATAGTTGTATTGAGGGCGATGATAGCGGTGGCAATGATGAGAAAATGGGAAATAAGGACTTGGAGAGTTGTATGTCATATTCTGCCAATTCGGATGAGAGAGATGAGGTTATAAAGGATGTGAAAGTGGATCCAGAAAATGTATCAAGTAATGAGAAAGGTAGCAAAGATATAAACCAGGTAAAGATCAAGGGCAAATTGCACGCATCCAGTAATAGAAATTGTTTTTCCCCTTTCAATTCACCAAGTGGAGAGTTAAATTACCATTCAGTTGAGAGAGATGAGGTTGAACAGAACAATGGAGTGGATCCAGAAAATGCATCAATTTTTTCTTCTAGCATTCAGTTGGGGAATGGAACGTTTTTGCACAACGAATCAAGCACGTTTACAAATCAATATCTTACCATACAAGAAGCATGTGATGAGACAAGTTTTGTTGCCTACAATCTAATTGGTCGGCTATTGGAAAAGTTTACTAAGGAGCAGGACATGGATTTAGGTTGGAGTGATAGCTTGTATCTCAGAGGTGACTCTTCAATCCAAGAACATACTCAAGGTATCAAACTGCTTTTCTCCCGTCCTTTTTCTCTCCCTTCAACTGAGCTTTATAAACCATGCATTTTCTCTGTTGGCCGAAATTTTCTGTAAACTGTTGTCATGAGCATATTTACTGTTGAGCAGTTCTTGAAACTACAATGACATCAATGTTTTAGTTTACAGTATGATGCAGGATTGTAAAGAGGAATAACATTGAGGCTACTATAGGATCAATTTAGTACAAAAGGGTTGGAAATTTTGTGGGCAACCGGGTCCTTAATGGGTTAGATTACGGGGTGATGAATGGATGAGTAAAATTAAAGTTCTATGCATTTTTGTAATTGCTCAGATGATAGTGAAGTAAACATTAACTCTAGATTTAGAGTGGAATGTTGATGGCCAGTTGCAGGTTTAAATTTGCCCTGATAGCTTCGGGGAACAAAAACAAATTTGCTGTTCATGATAGGAATGTATCAAATTTGACTTCAGTTATGTCCTAAACTATTGATAATAGGCTTTAAATTAAAGACCAGAAAATAAGACTTGCACTAGGCTAAAAATATAGAAATTTCTCAAATACGATTGAGAAATTTCAAATGAAGGTTTTTTTTTTTTGTTCTTTTTTAGGAGTTCTCCAACAGAATGACAGAAGTGCATCATGAAAAGCTGACAATTGGAAAAAAAAAAAAAAAAAAAAAACAACAACAAAAGAAGTTGACATTCAAGTTGCATCTGAGCTGTTCTAGTTTATCCATGCTCCTCTAGAGCATCATGTATAAGATGCAGAAGTAAATCTCAGAGATTCTCTATTATTACTAGATCTTAATTTCTCATCGGCACTACTCTTTATGATGATTACTTGGTGAAAGCAGTAGAGTTATCCTATGTTTAATTCCTTTCTGTGCTCTTTCTTCACCTTCTACAATTCGTCATAACTAATTAGTCCATTCTTACCATTCTTGCAGAAGGGAAGCAGAGATTAACTGAGGAAGACATGGGAGATTATTTAATTGAAATACTTAAGGAGCTAATGCCTTCTCTTCCAAAGAGTTATTTTTCTTATCCACCTGGAAAGTGATGGGTTTACCATGCATTATTCTGGTATATGACTTGTTGGTTTATTGACTCTTAAATTTAAATGTTTAAACTGTTAGCCTATATTTTATCAACCAAATCATCGATGTTGAGCTTTAAACTGTCATTTGTTTGCTGCAGACTGCAGTGACACAAAAATTGAAGGAGTTGATGGGGCACATTTTTGGCACCCTTTAATTATCCAGGACGATTATAGCAGCACCGATTTTATATCAAATCTATGCTTATTGATTAAACATGAGCTATTCAAATTTCCCTGCAATCTTCAATTTTTTGAGATGTGGCTTGGTTTAGAAGGAGCAAAGATCGAAAGGATCATATGGCTTCTCTGGTTCTAATTGTACAGAAAAGTGATTGCTGGTAAGTGGTAAAGTTTGGTCATCTTGCTTGCAGATCCAGGTCACCATTTGAACCATGTGTCTAACTACTTGAAACTTTTTTAAGTGGAGAGCTGTATTATATACATCCATTCGGAAATAGTCATTTTGTTTACATGTACTATTTTTAATGTTTTACCTCTCCTTAATAGAATGCTAAAGGAAAAAGGTGTCAGGAAGAGGGGTGTATTGCAATTCATTTAGTTTGTATCTGCATCTTGAAGCAATAGCTACCTCCGAAAAGTTTGTGTATGGGAATCAAAGATTTTTATGTAAGTTCTAATTAAAACTGAAAATTTATGTATCCATATTTATTTATTTCTCTATTTCGCATTTAACATATGTTAATCATGAAAATCATTGTGTCAAACCTAAACACATTTTTTTTTTGTCAAAAGTAATATATTATTTTTATTGAAATTTTAAATCATACATCTTTCTTTCATGTTTTCTCGTATCATATTCATGCCGTATGATCTCATTTTCAATTACCTCTATTAGCTCCACAAGTGCACACTCCAACTCTTTAAGTACTGTAGCGTTGATTTGTCAATTCAAATACATCAAAAGTAGGAAGAAATGAAAATTTTGGAATGGTTATAGCCTTGAAGTCGAAACACAAGTCTTTGCTATGCTCTGGCTTTCATTCAATATAACAGCTCAGATTAGCCAGAATAATGTTGATCCATTCGATTGTCCAAGAACAAACCACAAGCCAATTAGCAAATGAACAAGAAACAGGAATCAACGGAGTATTGTGAAGAACCAGAAGGAGCCCCGGATTGCTCCCAAGGTTTTGGAGGAGGAACATTACCTGCAATGTTGACCCAGAAATCAATGTTCCAAAATAGAAAAACCCATAGTTCCAAACAGCAATTCATGCCTTTTCAGCAAAGCTGTGACATGATATTCTTTTACAGATAAACCAGAAACGTAATAAATTTATAGTTTTGAATGGAATTTCTAATAAAAATTTTAAAAATAAAATAAAATGTTGAATTAGAAATTGAGAACTTCGCCGAACCTGATGGTTTGGTATTGGATCCCATTGTCTGAACGACACAGGAGGAAACAACACCAGATTATGGTTAAGACCACACGATGAAGCTGTTTCAACTAATATTGTACAAAATCTAGAAGTTTCCGGACAGTAAACCTAAGTGAATCCATACTGTCATTTAGTGACGTGTCCTGTCCAGAACTTTAGCTCACTTACCGCCTAACTACGGCGCCGTTTTGTTTCATTTGTGCGTTTTATAAACTTTCCTTTGTCTTTTTTTTTTTTTTTTTTTTTTCACGCTTTTAAGTTTAACTGCCATATAAAATTGTAGATAATGAACATTAATTTTATAAGAATTTATAGATGATTAATTAAGCAAAATATTTGTTCTCAAAAATATTTTTAATTCATATATCATAATTCACCCTAAAAAGAAATGAACCAAACTTTAGTTCATTTGCAGCAATTTATATAATTTCTGAAGATAAATAGTTTATTGAAGATTGAGCTAGAGAGCGTGTCAAATTATCAAAAAAAAAAAACCATAAAAAATAATAATTTGATATGCATTTTAATATTCAAATCAATCAAATTTATAAAAAAGAAAGAAACAAAAAATAAGAGAAGATAAAAAGAGAGAAAGCAAAAAATATATAAAATAAAAAATATTATACATTTGATATGATTTTTTTTTATATCTCATTGATAATAATGTGATTAAATGAATATGATATTATTTATTTTAAAATTATGTTTGAGTATTGATGATGTTAGATATGAAGATTCGTAATATCAAAATTTATGTATTAATATCATATTTTATATAAAAATTATATATTATGATATTTATCGACATAAAAATATAAAATATAAATTTTTTATTCTGTTGAATTCATATATAATTATTATTATAATTTTAAACAATATTACTTTTTTATTTTATTTTATATTATATTATATTTATATTATATCATTATATTATATTTTAAATTATCATATCTAAATAATGTAATAATCAAAATGTTACTAACGTGATTAATCAAACTTAAATAAAAAAAAGACTATTGAAGATACAAAATTGAAAACTTTTAGTTAATTTTAGCCGGTGAAAGTCTAAAATTTTCCCATATAATTTTAGCAATAACCTAAACACCACATTTTGAAAACTAATGAGAAGAAAAAAAATACTAATCATGTCATCCAAAATATCCTTTTAACCCCAAAGACAAATATATCCTTCAAAATTTTTGTCATTATCATAAGTTATTTTAATAATTTTTACTTTTAACTCTAAAAATCAGGACTGTTAATTTCTTATTAGTATCTGTTTGTACGCGTTAGTTTTGTACTATATGTTTTGGCTGTATATTTGTTACTATTGTTGGTACCAGATAGTACCAATGAATATGGAATGGATCAGCCTGCAAATAAAAATAATTTTTTTTTAATTTTTTAGAGTTTTTTTAATATTAAAAGATAATATATATTTAAATGTAAAATTTTGGTGAATTTATTTTTAATCAAATTTTGGGTAAGAAAAACATGATCCCATGTGATTTTTTTACTTAATTTTGTCTATACATTAAACATATTTAATAAATATTTAAAAATTATTGTAATTTTTTATATTTAAAAATATTTATATTCTTATATGACGTAAAAATAATCCAAATAGTAAAGATATTGCACATAAAATCGCATACATAAATACATATCTATATATTTCATCGAAAATTTAAAATAATATATCAAAACAATTGATATTAATATATATTTAAAAACAAAAAAAAACATTGTGATATCATATTAATAATTTGACTAAAGATAAAATACCCATTAAATATTTTATTATTTTAATTTGCATGTAAGTTATTGCATGATTTTCTTAAGATTTGATTAAAATATTTGTTATTAAATAGATTTTATTAAAAATTTAAACAATTACCAAATATAATATTAAAAAAAGGAAAAAAAAATATAAACCTGAAAGAATAAGGCAAAATTGAGGAAAGAATAGATAAAAAAAAAAAGAAAAAGAAAAATGAAGAGAAATAAATAACTAAGAAAGAGAAGAAATGGTCTTGGTGTTTGTTAAAATGGCAATTGGAGGAGAAGCTCCTCCTTTTGTTTGACAATTGATAGATCTCTTTTCTCTTCTTCTCATATTTTCTTGTATCTTTAAAACAAATTTAAAATGCCTTTAAATTAGATCAACAACCAAAACAACAACGATCCGATCAATCAATGAAAAACTAACAAAAACCCATAATTTATATGTGATTTTGATGTGAAATTATCCTCATTGTTTGGAAAATTGCTAATAAAGCAAGAGAGGATTGAATGGTGGTTGAGTAAGAGAAAAGGAGGCGGAGGAGGTGGGTATCGTTCTAAGTGTAATGTTTTGCGGGGAAAAGCGAAAGCAATGGAGTTGCGCCGCCGGTGCCGGAGCCGTCAATATTCAAAGAGTCGGTTCTATTGTTCGCGATATTGGAGATCCTTGCCTTTCCCAGTTTCCCATCAAGGTTGTTTTTAGCTGTAAGATTATTCCTTCACCATTCTTTATATAATGCTATGAGTTTAATGATAATCTAACGATTTAGTTTCTTATTGAATCGAAATCTAATACCTTTGTATTGTATAGTTTCTTATTGAATCAAAACTTTTTTTTTTAAGCTTTATAAGGTCTTTAGTTGCTAACATTTTGGGTCAAATGAGATCCTTGGGGGCAAGAGCTAGGGTTTTATTTGAAAATGGGATAGCATATTGTTACAAAAATGAAGAATTTTAATCGGTTATATTTTTCGTTTCAATAGTTTAAGACATTGAGCAAACTTTAAATGAATAACTAGTGATTGGAAACTTTGTTGAATGGTTAACCCTTTAGTAGTTGAATTATTAGTTATAAAAGAGAAAAGTTTGAATTGCAAGGGAAGGTATATATTTTGCTAAAAATCAATTCAATGAAGCATTAATTATAAGGGAGGTTGGCATGTCCGAACATTGAACGTTGAACATTGTGCTCTGGCTCACATAACTGTGTATTTAGAATGTATTGTGTCTGAAATGTGAGTTGAGACTATGCTATGAATTCAAACCCATTGCAGCATTATAGTCTTAGCGCTGCATGACTATGAGTAATGAGTGTTGTCTGTGTATTAAAGTGTTGCTTTATTAACTCTCTTCCTTTTCCATTTTAATAATTTCAATAATGAGAAAAGTGAGTGCCATTACTTATCTTGGTTTTGAAAATTTGATTTGTGTAAAAAGTTTCCTTCATTGGCTTTCCAATTTCCAACTATGGTGTGACTGTGGTATTTTTTTTTTCTTTTTTCGTATCAATGAACTAGGTACTTATGATGCAGGTAAGCAAGATGCTTAAGCCAGAGAAGTGGCAGGCCACTTTTGATAACGAAGGGAAGGTTTCTGGTTTTCAGAAAGCACTCAAGTTGATTATTTTGGGGGTATGTCTTAGTTTCTCTTTTTTTTTTTTTCTCCAAACATTGTGTTCAACTAGCCAGTATATCTGTTGTGCCTTCGTATTGCCTTTTTTTTTTTGGGAAACCTGTTGGTATTGGTATTGTACTTGCGGACCTTGAATTGCAATGGTTGTCCATGGTGAGAACTACTTTACTCTAGAATTTTTCTTTCTTTTATTGAAATACGTGGTACCAAATGTCAAGAGTATGTCAACCATTAGTTTTGCTTTCCTGCCAGATTGTTTATCTTGGTCATTGTCAACATTACATGTTATAGGCTAATTCGTATTTGGGTATTTTACTTATACCCGCAACAAATGGAAATATCTATACTTCATGCCTTTCTAAACGATATGGCATGATTCATTTAAGAAGGGTCTTACGATGGATGACAATGGGATAGGTTTAGAGGGTACCAACTTGTCCCAACTCTAATAAGATGTGTCAATAAATACCTTATATGATAATCAAACCCCACTATATTTTCTTTAAATTTTTTTTTGTCTTTCAATGTTGTATATGGTAAATTGTATGCGTACTTATTATCATGTCACTAGTTTTTTAAAGTTCTCTAATTTTTTTACTGCTAAAATGTACAGATTATAATATGTTGGTAATTAATTTTTTGTTTGGTTGGATGCTTCCTTTAACCCGTTCAATCTTCTGACTTGATGTTTTGGACATGGTCAAGTACTTAAATTTGTAAACACATTTGGGTTTGGCTTCGAGAAATGGCATGGTTTCCAACCTGTTGCGACCTCTAGGCTTAATGACCCTTCTCATCTTGTTTTGTCTGCATTCATGATGCTTGCTGCTCATATTTCTATCTTTTGATGCGTCTTATTACCACTCTGGGTTTGTTTTGCCTCATAGCACTCTGCAACCTCACTGGTTCTTACGTAGTTGGATATAGGGCTTCATTAATTAGCCACTTATATGGCATCTCAGCTCATAATTAAGGGGTAGGAGATGAAATGTGGCTTCGATGCACAGCTTGGATGCATGACTGAATAAAAGGAGAAAATAAAAAGTTGTAACTTCTATCATTTTGTTTGGTTCCATATAGTACACTTGTCTCCCTCTTGCCTTGACTAGCTTTAAGACTTTTAGGTGATGTGCTGCTGTTTTTCAGTTATTGTCAGTTTTGTATTCACTTTCCACATCTCTCCCTTCCCTGGCCAAATTTATACACACACACTCACATTTTTTGCAGATGGTGCAAAACTTTAACAGCAATTTATCTCATTGATATTAGGGGATTGATCCATCTATAAGACCAGAAGTTTGGGAATTTCTTCTAGGTTGCTATGCATTGGGGAGCACTGCAGACGACCGAAGGCAATTAAGGACAGCCCGGAGGTTTAGTCCTGTTCTTTTCTATTTTATATTTTACTATTTTTTCCTTTGTAAGTTCCTATTGTTTGGCTGTTCTGCTTGCACATCAAACCAACTGTTTCAGTTAAATATTCTTGTGTAACCATACTTCATTTTCAACCATGGTTAGCTTTTGATCATCATTTTTTTAATGATTATCTGCCTTGTCCATTATTTTTCCTCTTTTTATCGTCAACAGATAGACAAATCACAAATATGATCTAGTCATATGTAGGAAATAGCTATCTATGACATGCAACTTTGTGTATGTCATTGTTTTTTCTTAGCAAATGATTGATAGGTGTGATTTGTTTATATGAACTAGAATACCTTTTCACAGGTTCTTTTCAGAAAGAATTATAATTTTACCAATATTAGCTTTATTTATTTAAGGATAATGAAGTTTCTAGTTTATCCTTATCCAGTTCATCTGTGATTGCAAGCTACAACTGCCTTCAAATGCCAATAACTTTACATGGAGAAACATACTATGATTTTAAGTGCAAAGAAAAGTGCTCAAAATGCAAAGCATTGAGAATGCAGCAAAGAGACAGAAGATTAAAAGACAGTGACCAGATTAGGTTCCTTTTGCTTAGATATAATTCCATTAAGGCCATACTTCTACAATTCACTTTAAAATTCTTTATTTTCAAAACAAGTTTCGGACCTATCTGCGGGTTTGATTGAAATTTTTAGTTTTGTGCTTTTGTTAGGAAAATAATATACATTAGCTTATTTAAGAAATAATTTTTTTCTTTACGGGAAAAGGCTCTTTCTTGACTAAGCATGGGTAGAGATGCATGCTGTCCATATATCCAGAGTACATAACTTGTTTATTGTAATAGTTGAAAATTTTTAGAAACTTTCTATAGTGCTTGGAATGTTGTGCATTCCAATATTCTTTCTTAAGATCAAGGCTCTGTTTTGCTGATTTATGAATATTTAACAGCTTTATGGAAATGTACGCAGGGAACGTTACAATGACCTCATAAAGCAATGCCAGACAATGCATTCAAGCATAGGAACTGGTTCACTTGCCTATACTGTGGGTTCCAAAGTTATGGATATGAGGACATCCTCCAAAGATGGGGGGAAAAGGGAAGCAAAAGTTGAAAGTAGACAAGCTTCCACTGATGATACTGATAAAAGAGAGAAATATTCTGATTTGGGTAATACCTGTACAGATAAGTCATATGCTGACCAAAGAGAGAGTTCTAGTGATTCTGCTGAACTTATCAGTGTGAGGGGAAATGCTAACACTGCTGCATATGACACTTGTTTTATATCAACTTCTGGTCCATGTGGCCGCTGTTCCTCAAAAATAGGGGGAGACTGTAATCGGTCAGAATTCATAACTGAGTACGAGTTTGATTTTCCTCCTTTACCAGTTACAGACTTGTTCAAGAAGAGTGAAGATGAGAAAGAATTTGATGCAGATGAGGAAGAGTATTCTGCACAATATAAATTGATGTTTGAGGATGACAATATGCATAGTTTTCAAATCAATAACAATGCTGATTTAATCATGGAATCAAATGTTTCGCCCTCACTATCTAAAAGTATCTCACATCCATATAACTGTGAAATTGAATTGCTCCATTGTGATTCCTATGAGCCAGTTCTGAGATCCAATAAGGTAGGTTATAAAACAGAAACAGTGAACAGATTAAGAATATCAGATGTCCCAGAATCACCATTGGTAAATGCAACCAGATCTCAAGAAGGGACTGCCCATGATGAAAGAGTATCTGAATGGCTTTGGACTCTGCACCGAATAGGTATCTTGGTTACCTTGTTTTATTTACAGTGCAAAACATTTTCCCCTTTCTGTATTCCATTAGATAATTAGATACTGTTTATTAGTTATTCTTCTCGGCTGACGGGATTCTTCCTTTCTCAGTTGTTGATGTGGTGAGAACGGATGGTCATCTGGAGTTCTATGAGGATACTAGAAACTTAGCTAGAATGTCTGATATACTTGCTGTTTATGCATGGGTTGATCCTGCAATTGGTTATTGTCAAGGTTTTAGCCTTTTACTTGTAACATGTTTTGCTAAACCTTTCTCTTTTGAATTGCTGTTTATCTGGTGCAAAGCTTTGAAAGATACAACTTTAAGTTTCAAGTTTTAAATGTCTAATGCTAACTGTTTTTGTTGGTTTGATCATAGGTATGAGTGACCTGCTATCTCCTTTTGTTGTTCTCTTTGAGGATAATGCGGATGCATTTTGGTGCTTTGAGATGCTAATTAGGAGAATGGTATTTTAAACCTGGTGAATATGTTGATCTTGATCATTTATGTTTTTAATACTTATATCTGTATTTCCACATGCCTCCAGCGTGAAAATTTTCAGATGGAGGGACCAACTGGAGTGATGAAGCAGCTGCAAGCATTGTGGCATATTTTGGAATTCGCAGACAGGGAAATGTTTGCACATCTATCAAATATAGGTGCTGAAAGCCTTCATTTTGCATTTCCAATGCTGCTGGTTCTCTTTCGCCGAGAGTTATCATTCAGTGAGGCTCTTTGTATGTGGGAGGTTTGTGCTCTTAGTCTCATTTAACGCTGTCAAGCTGTTGCAATCTATGGTACTACTATATTATAATATATCTAGGAAACAATGAAGTAAGCATAATATATCTAGGAAACAATGAAATAAGCATTGTGCTAAAATTTGAATAGGCATGATAGTCACCAGATTGAGCATAAAGCTAACCGCAGTAAGGTGGAAAGCTTCTGGCTCTAATTTTGATGCGTATCTAGACCATTCCCTGTTACTAGCATCTTCTTTATTGCACACTTGGTTGGGCTCCCATATTTCCCCATTTTTTGTCTTTTTCTTCTTTGTTTTTGTTTCATCCTTGCCTTTTTCAGGGGCCTACCTGTTGTGATCAGTCATGGTTGTCTTACCTTAAATAACTCCAACTCTGGACTGATGGTATTTATAGATGCAGGTCCAGAAATCAACTTGCAGGGTTGAGGACTGCATCCATGAGGGTGCCGTTACAACATAAAGTTAAACGAATAGGGCCATAGGGAATCATTTAAAATTTCTAACAGATTTCCCTTTGCTTTGTAAAATGACAGAGATCATTGTGAAGCTATTTATATAGGAAGTAAAACGTGTTATAGGTTTGCAGTTTAATTGAATCTCAAAATCTTGACTTGCTCCACCTTATTTTATTGTCAAGTTCAAGTTTTTCAATGTATAAGGTGCAGTTAATGACCGTGATTTCTTCAAATAGAGTATTAGAGGATTAAGGATGTTAAGAAGTTGTATAAGATCTCAAGAACTCATGAAAAGCATGAACTGTATTTTACATTTCATATTCTTTTGATTTTATTTCTTTTTTTTTTTTTTTTTTGAGATTGTTACTAACAAAATCAACCTCAATGTAGATGATGTGGGCAGCTGATTTTGATGAATCTGCCACCTGCAATTTGGAGGAGCTCTGTCTAGAAGCACTGAATGTACAACTTCCTATCGATTCTGGGGCAGAAATGAGAGAAGAAAACCGAGAAAATGGAAATGATGGTGTAAAGGGTGGCCTACAATCCAAACATTCCTTGTCTGAGAATGGTGGAATTAAATCGGCATCAACTCATCACTTTTGTGGTTTGACACGGAGTTTTTGGTCTAGAAATGATCACCTCCAAATATGCAGTGTTGTCTCATCAACTAGGATAGGAAATGATGATTTACCAGTCTTTTGTGTGGCTGCTATTCTTATCATGAACCGTCAAAAAATCATCAGGCAAACCCGTTCAATAGATGACATAATAAAGGTAAGTCCCTTGGAATTATTAAGTTATACTGTCTTCATCTCTATCTTTACACACACATGCACACCTTTAAGTGTCCATTCTACTAACAACCCCTCGTAGGTTGGACTTCTTGGCTGTTTGGATACAACCTGCATGCAATTATTCAAGCAGGCCAGCCAAGATCTTGAGACTTATTAAATTTAGCTAAAATAGAAAACATTTTTGTTAGGAGATGTATTGTTATTATTTTGCCTCTGAAAAAAGTAGAAGAGTATTATTTTCTTCGACAGGATAGAAAGAAACTTGCAAAAACATGTTTGATGATGAAAGGATGTTAGCAATTTTTATTCTTCTATGGGAGAAACTGAATTATCCCCAGTTAAGAGTTTCAATTATTGTTATAAAGATGGTTAACCATTCCCTACATGTGCATTGGTGCTTGACCAAAGTTTGATGCAGTTATGTAAATGAAACATAGGGGAGTTAACCTGGTGTTGTTAGGATCGACTCTTAAGTTGGTAAGATGATGATCAAAGTGATGCCTCACCTTTGAATGGTGGCTTAGCTTCAGTTTAATGCAGCTTTACAATTGACATTTGGGAGAGTTCACCCTGAGTGCTTGATTCATTTTCCAAGTTGATTCTGTACTAATTTTTTGTAGAAACTATTTTTTGTGCTTAAACGAAATTTAACCTACTGAAGGAGTCAGGTTTTGAGTGTAGCGAGTGCATGCATTTCCATGTTTATGGGTCCTTGTATGTCCCTGTATGACCTGTTACTTTGCAAGTCTGTTTTCTTTCTCTCTGTTATGAGTATGCCATTAAATTCTGGATGCGCGGCTAATGTTCTTGATGGTAGAGATGGAGGGGTTGATGTCCCTGTACTACTTTTCCCAAATGTAAAATGATTGCTTTCAATATTTTTGTTCTATTTCCTGTTGCAGAAAGAAATTAAAAATGAAATGGGGAAGAGTTCTTTTTTTCTCTTTCAGTAGTTAGGCATGCTTGTTTTGATTCATTAAATTTTCTTTTGCATATTTGTCGCAGATTTTCAATGATAAGCTTCTGAAAATCCATGTCAAAAGATGCATAGGTGCTGCAATCAAACTCAGAAAGAAATATTTATATAAGGTTAGTAATTATAATGTTTTCGTCTTAAGGAATTATGAGTGAGATGTGACATATAAATTCAACTCTTTTATGCTACTTTGCAGTGAATCCTCAAAACTTTTGTTTCTTTCTCTTGCTTTCTCTCTCTAATAACAATGTTAGGGCATTGTCATATTGGAAACTCTAATAGTGGTGTTAGAATAAGTAGAAACGAGACCCAATTGCCCATGTGACAAGATGTGAATTAATGCATGATATGTATAACCAATGCCAGAGAGGGAGTAGAAGACTAGAAGGAACAGGATTGATAGGACCTCCCATTTACTTGGTTAACGAGATATTGTCTTAAATAGAGCGCACTGGTTTAATATGATCCATATAACCGATCCCATATAGTGGGAAAAGACATAGTGTATTGTTCTTGGCAATGGCTTTTCTTGGCTATAGTTAGGGCCGCCTGCATTACACAGTTGTCTGACAGAATTAATATAATTGTTTTATATCTACTCTCTTTTTGAATGGATGGGATGAGAACATTATTATGACCGTCCCTCATTGGTTGTCCGCGGGTTCCATTATCAAGAAGTGTATCCACGGCTTCTTGTACCAATTTTTCCTGACACATTACTAATTCCCTGGCGTAGATCTACTTGTTGTTAATAAATCGGTAAGAGTATTATTTCGATAGATAACTCTTCTATAGAGTTCATTAATATCCGAACTCATTAGTTTAACCCTATCTATCTGAATGACCGATCTTGTTGAGCTAACACATGAATTGTCTTTGTTGCTAAGTTTTGGTTAAGATAGGTGGCATGTAAAATGTGCAAATCCATGGTATGTCGATCAGCATGCATGGCATCACTGTCTTCATTTCTCTATTAAATGTTTCACCTTCATAGTAACCTCTAGTAAATCTAACATTTTGTTTTAATCAGCTAATCAAGAGCAAAGGTCATTCAACTCGGAATAGTGAGTAGGTATGGAGCATTTTCTGGCAAAAAAGGCAAAAACATTTTGAGTCAGTATATATTTACTATCTGGGATTCCTAGTTTGGACATTGAATGAGAGTTTATGGTGGTTCTTTTATGATGGATTATAAAGCAGAAGTGCTTTTGCTGTCTGAAGATTCATCGTATTCCTTCACCTCCATTATCTTCAAGTCTTTTTCCAAGGTAACTGTGGTCTGGTTATTATTCCTTTCTACAGCAGTAGTAATATCTTTTTTTTTTTTTTGGTAGTTGCTGTTGTAATCTCTGATGCAAAATAACGTAAAAATTAATGTAGAATTTGAGTTCAGCTGACTCAGTATTACATACTGGCACTCCTTTTTCCCCTATTCTTTGGGTTACACCTTTTCAAGTCAAATATAGTAATTAGTATTTTTTTGGGTTATGTAAATTAATATATAGTAAATTTATGTATTACCATTTGGTGAAATCTGGACCTAGTATTAAATTTATCAGAGATTTGAACTGTTGGTAATCATATTGATAGTTTCAGGGAAAACATCATATGTTAATTTATTATGTAAAAGGATTGGTTTACAGCATGGACTGACATGCATTGCTTATTCCTATGACACTAAAATTATCAAAAGAAGATAGCTTGTTTAACGAAATCAAGATAAGCTGGTGATAAATGAAGAAATAGTCAGAATAAAGTATATAATTCAAGTACCTGTGAAATGATAATATCATGTCACCTTGTTTTGGTCAAACCTTGGAAAAGAATTTCATGAAATAGCTTTTACCCAAAAGTTTTTATAAACATGTATAGATGTGTGTGTATGTGCTTCTGTTCATAGGTTATTCTCAGATCATTTCCCTTGCACCTGTTTGAAGCTAAATATTAACTAGATGATCTGGTCCATGCTCTTGCATGCCCCTTTTTTCAGCAACCTTTCTTAGAAATGTACTGTATCAGGCTCTCAGCTCTAGTCCCAGCCTTAGTTCTTAATTTAACACAAAAAGACTAAATAGGTGCTGTAGAAGTTCAACAATTATCTAATACCCTTTTCTTTCTTGGTTTCAGTTAATGCTTGTGTGGTTCGACAATCATTTGAATAGGTCTTTGTGTCTTCTTAGAGTGCACTTGTCTGTTATTAAGATGTACAAGTAGGCAGTAGGCACTTTGATGTTCAATTTATGATGATTTCAGGAAAATTATCAACTTGCATTTTTCATCCAGATTCTAATCCTTTTACGATGGGAATACTTTTCTTTCTGTTAGATGACTTATCAGGATCTCTTAGTTTGGTGCTTGGGATATTTGTTGCTGTAGTACGATATAATCCCTCTTACTCTATGGAGAATCTTTTGGTTAAGAGGATTGTAAACACTAGCTTCACCTTGAGTTAATGCTTGTGTGGTTCCATAATCATTAAACGGGCTTTTGTGTCTGCTTAGAGTGCACTGAACATTTTATTGATGCAAGTTTATTTTCTTGATTTTATTGATGCAAGTTCATTTTCTTGATTATCTTTTTGAATTATCATTGGATTCAATTTATTTGCGTCAAAATGATAACATTCATCTTGCCCCAATCCCTTCTCTCGCCTCATTACTTGTGTTGGGAGGATAAAAAAGGGGGGGGGGGGGGTTGCCAAAAACCATGATTCTTTTTAAGAATGTTTGCCTGGCAATAGTAGGGAAATCATGATTAAGATTGCTCTTATGCTTTTTTGGCATCATGTTCGTTCTGGCGGTTATACAGTTTTTGCCTTTTTGCCTGCTCATTTTGAAGGTACAAGAAAGACTGGAAAGTGATAAGAAATATTTTCAAGGTTCATACAGATGTAAGCATTTAGCTATGGTGGGGAACCTGTCCCAGGTTAGGCGAGCATGATCTGGCTTTTTTACCTTTATATAATTTAAATTATTTTGTAAATCTAAATGTTAAATTGTGCATCAACAATCTTGTTTGCTTATTTTTATGCACATAAATTTACAGAAAGAATTGTTGAATTTTTAGGTTTTGTGTAGGGCAGTTTAGGTCAGGCTTGAACAAGTTACACAATTTATGGAAAGAAAAGAGTTTTTTATTGGCATTCTGCTGTACCTTAACCCAAGACATTTGGCATTTCAATGACAATCATCTCCATAATTTTATGGTTATTAATCATTCCTCCCCCAGCAGAGTGACTCACTAGTTTTTACTGGGATTATTTTTATCTGTAAATCTGCAATTTTTTGCGTTTTTCTCCTTCCTTTCCAGTTAGAACTTTCATATTTCCCATTAGACTCGTGGAAAGAGCAAATTATTTCCTAAAATCTTCATAGCCAGCAGCAAATTCTTGGGTGATTTGCTTAGTATCATCACCAAAGAGTAGCTGCTGATCAACTCCAAGGACAGCTTCATTGGCTAACACTCTGGAGTAGTAGTATTTGGTCAAACTATATTTGGAGGCAGATGCTGGGTTTAGAAACACCAGTGGGTCGATTTCTTATTTCTGCCAAGAATGATGCCTTCATGCTGGCATCATTTGGGTCCTGCTCTCCTTTACTGATGAAATTGTACAGCCGATCCTCGATGAATCTACAGTTTGTTCTCCCCATGGAATGTGTTTCTGATATCAAAGAAAGGTAAGCAGTCAGATAGAAAATACTGTTAAGAGTTTGTTTGTCCCTTGAAACCTATCATGCATTTTGCCGATTAGTAGTATTAGTTCAGCTCTATCCTGCGGTTTTAGCTATGGTTTAGTGACCTTACCTAAAAGTGTTACCATATCCAACACATCCAAGCCTCTTGGTCTGAAATATGCCACAGCAGCTTCCCATTACACCATTAATCAGTGATTTTATAACAACAATTTGCCCTCTAAAGATCTATTTTAAGTGGAGGGGTGGGTCTCTTGAGTATCTTATGTGAATAGGATTCATCTTATCTACAAATTATAAAACATAAATCGAATTAGCACAGTAGGTCCACATTAACTTTAAAATAACAGGCTTCGGACACAAGAAACCTTAATCGGCACCTATTAAGCCTAAACCAAATTTTTTTTTTACAAAAAATGTCACATTTTAAGAATATAAAATATAGATTTTAAGTGCTAAAATTTAAATTTCAAACTTAATAGATATTGATAATATGAATCGATTAAATTTTGGATTTACGATTAAAAGGAATGAGCTAAGCTTCGAATTCTGGATTAAACAGAATTCCAGTTCTAGTACGCTCCATCAAATATAATAATCGTGATTATGTGGTGAAATGCGTGACTAGATTTATGCATTAATATCAAAAGAGAGTCGTTGAGTTATTAGAAGGAACTTGTTATACCAAACGAACAGCATCTCCAGTGGCAAGGTTGAGAATGTCGGCACAAGAGACGACACCAGGCAACAAGCTCCAATAACGGTTTTGATTCTGTCGACAAATACGAGTGCAGTCCTCTCCGAATTTGGGCCATCATAACAACCCTACAAATTCCATCCATAAACGGCATTGTTTTACCTTGGATATTATAATTAAGATTGTTTTTATTTGAATTTTGATTATTGAAATTAAAAGTTTAACATTATATTAATAAATCATATGACAGCTGTTGGATGTCATTAATTTAGGAAAAAATAAAACTTTTATGTCATGAATAAATTGATAATTAAGATTAAAAAAAATCGTTCAAATTTACGAAAAGTCAAATTTTAATTATACAAATAAAAAAAGGAAATCAAAAGAAAATAGTGGTGATTAATTGACAAACACTTACAGTTATGAAACAATCCGAGTATATATAGCAACAGGAGAAGCTTAGGTGCAATAGCTTTATCCTTTTTATAGAGCAACTCTACTTGGTGCCGGATGCATCATGACAAGTATTATGCTCTTTATAGTCAAAATAAATTTTTATAAAAAATATTTTAATATTTTTAGATTATTAAATTTGCATGAAATTGGTTTTGCTTAGTGACACTACTTTTATTGATTGATGATGAAAGCATAAAAGCATTATGCATTACTGACCAAGAAATTAGTTAAAGAAGCAAAACATGTTAGCTGCAATTGACCGATCACGTTCCTTTTTTTAAAAAAAAAAAAATTTATTGGTTAGTCTAGCTGGAATAGGTCAAGTTTGATCTCAATATTTGACCACCAAAGTTTAATTTAATATTAGAAATAAAGTAAAAATAAAATGATCCAATTATTATGAAATTTAATTAAAGCTAAAGAAACTGCTTTTGATATCAAAATTTATCTTTAATTTTTTGATTTAGTGATAAAAAAATCTTAAAAAAAACATTAAGATTGAAATTCGATTTCAATCTTTTTTTTTTCTTCGTTGTAAGATTCTGTCTCTTTTAAAAATAAAAAAAATTAAAATTTGGATTAATTTTACTGTTAAAAATTTATACATCTAATTGACTTTATATTAATAATTAAAGTTTTTTTATTTTAATTATTTATACATATTGTTTATTAAAAAAATAAAAAAAACAAATTACTAGGTCAAATTTTGTTTTCAATTCAAACTAATTCTAAAATTCAACTCAATAGGATTTGATAGCACATTTTTCCAATCGTTTCATGGCAAAATCATTTGATAGAATATTTTGAATAAAGAAATTGATTACAAAATAGTAAAGAAAAAATCCAAAATACATCAAATCAAAAACGAAAAGATAAGGACAGTAGTTTAAAAAAATAATTTACAAAAAGCCAATAATTGGGAACTGACAAGCTTGGGGTGTCCCATGGCCATACTGAAGACATTTTTGGAATCCAATTTCAAATCAATTGAAAAAAAAAAAATAATTCAACAAAATTTGTCTTTGTCATTTGATTTTTGAACTACCCACATTATGGATTTGATGTATATATTTTTATTCTTTTTCAACCCTATTTGTGGAGACTCGAGAATGCTCGTATGAAAATAAAAATATCACAATTTAAAAATTAAAAAATTATTAATAATAAAATTTAACATTTAAAATTATTAAATATTATTATTTAAAAATAATTATGCATTTAAAAAATTTCGATGGCATAATTTTAAAGTTATTTTTTAAAATTCAAAAAAAATCACATGGTTAAAAGTTTAATTAAGATAGATTTAATTTGTTAAATTAGTGTAAGTTCATTCTTATCAATAAAAAAAAATATTGAGTTCGAGTACTGTCAGTAATCATTTATTGAAATCATATCGAATATATGATCTGTAATTATTTATCTTAAATTATCAAATACGATATATTTTATTTTAACATAAAAAATTAAATAATTTATCTATATTAGATAAATTTAATTATAAAAAATATATGATTGGATTTTTTAAAATTAAAATATTATAAATAATTAAAGTTTTTTAAAAAATTGAGTTGAACAGTTGTCATCCATCCTAAATTTATGTAGTAAAATGTCATATTTATGGGATTTTTATATTATTTATTTTTTTATGAAATTACTATCATATTTTCATCTTTGCAATGCACTACTATAATGCAGAGTGGCAAAACAGTAATTTAAATAAATATTACTGTTCCCAAAGTCGGCTAATAGAAAAAAAATAAAAGCTGGAAAAACAAATTTAAAAAAAAAAGAAAGAAAAAGAAAGAAGTTAATAAATTAATAATGAAAGAATTGTACTTTGAGCTTCCGAAGCTTCAAATCCAAAGCCATCCCATTCCCATTCTCGAAAACATGATTTTGATTTGATTTGATTTGATTTTCCCAGCTCCGTACACTTGTCCATCTCTATCTCTCTCTCTCTCTCTCTCTCTCTCTCTCTTCGGTGCCGTTTGCCCTTTCTTTCTCGTCTCTCCTATACAATTACAACTAGAGCTCCCTTCAGTCTAATACACCATGCTCTCTTTCCTTTTTTGTTTTTTTTTTTCCTTTGAACTCTCTTTTATTTTCATAATCTGTAACAAATCTCTCCATTTCTAATCTGGGTTTTGCTTCTTTTCTGGCGGGAACTTTTCAGCTGGCGGGAAAGAACCAACTTTCTCATCTCTGACAACTCTGTTTTCGTTTCAATTATATTTTCTGTAAGAGGGTGTAAAAATCTGAAATTTTTTAAGCTTAAATTGATGGCAAACCCACCGGGGAACCATCAACAAGAAGCGAATCACGCGTCATCTTCTTTCAGTGGAGCTCGCTTGAACAACGGCAATCCTATACCCGAGAGTTTGGGTTCGGTTATGAGGCATAACCCTGGTATTTCCTTGGATTGGACCTTAGAAGAGCAAGCTGTACTTGAAGACGGGTTAAAAAAGTAAGTCTTCTTTTGTCTTTTGGTTGCATGGAATTTTGGTTTTTCGTGATATCTATTTTTCAAGCTTTTGAACTCTTTATTTTGGATATTGGGTACTATGAATGTGAATTTTTTTTGTTGGATTCTTGGTTGAATTGTGGTGTCTTTGGATTTCTTGGAACTGGTTGGAAATTATAAATAAGGAAATACCCTGCATATTACAGTGTTTAAGTTTATAACTGACAGGAAAAGAAAAACGAAGATATAAATTAGTAGCCAATGAGCAAATATTACAGTGTTTAAGTTTATAAATGGCAGAGATAATTCTTTTTGTCTTTTTGAATGGCAGTGATTTTGCTTTTCTGAATTCTGTTTTAGTTTTGTTATAACTATGCTGTTATGAATAACCCAATTGAAATCTTTCCGCATTTGAACGAATGAGCTCATTATTAGCCTAATTACTTTCTATTTTTTCTTCCTTTTGTTGGCACTGGGGATGCATCAATGTTGGTTATTCTAATTCTGTTTGTGTTTGCAAAAATAACATTTAATATTGCAATTTCTTCTATGGTTTCATGTGTTATATATATATATTCCCAATTTGCTTATCATATTTGCACTCTGCCTATTGATATGATTCGGATTGCAAATGAGGTGTTTCAAATGCTATTTGAAAATCTTCAGCTTGTTAATATAGCTTTCGTCAGACTATTTATTTTGGTTCTGAAGGTAAAATTAAGTGTTGTGCTTGAAAGTTGAAATAACTGACCTCGTAGATATTAAACTTATATACGGTAAATGTTTGAATTATCTCTAACTCTAACATTTGGGATAACTTTTGGCCTCAATTATATCGAAACTTATAGAATCACTTCTCTTCAAGACTTGTAATGTGTAGGTTTCATAATGGAAAATATAACAATTTTGTGTATGTTTCTTTCATATATTTCAAAACTGCAACCAAATGGTTATAGTACGTTGTTCTTCATAATGGAAAATATATTTCATATATTTGGCATATCACTGCTGCTGGATACTGGTGTTTGAACCGTTCATTCTTTCATTGTATGTTGTTGTATTTGCTCCATTTGGTTTTGTTGTGCTAATTGTTGTGGAGAAGACCTTTCTTTGGGTAAGCTTCCCCTTGATTTGTAGATACCTTATGGCTTGGCGCAATATAATATGTTGCTTTCTTTTTTGTCAAAAAAAAAAAAATAATAAAGGAAACTTAAGATGGCTTTATCTTGGTAAGTAATCTAAAACCTCTGGTGCCTAAATGTATAATAGATAATAAACAGCTCTTAATTGGTGCCATTATCTTATTTCTAATTTTCTCCATGAATGATGCTAACTTGAATGGTAACACTCACTTCTAAGCGCTGGCTCGTGCAATACAAGTTCCATATATCTATCCAAATGAACTATGACATATCAATATGGGGACCTCTCTATAGAAAGGAAATGAATGATTTTCTTTATTAAGGCTTCTTTATTTTTCAATATCCTTTTCCTTGAGAAAATTAGATAAATGATATCATAATCTTTTTGTCGGTTCAAATTGACATTAGAGAAAAAATAACTCAAGCCTAGTAATATAAAGTGATTTAATTGAGTGAAACTTATTCTTTCCTGAAAACCCCAATAACACAAGGACCATTCTTATTGACTGATGTTGCTTACTTAAACAAATATCAACTTAGATGAGATTTAGATTCATCTAAAACAAAAGGAAAATAAAATGAAGAAATCATCGAAAAAAATGTTTCTTAATAATGTGAAAGATAATTAATGAGTTGAACAAGAACAATCAAGAAGAGCAGTTCATAAATGTAAAGAAAGAAAAGGAGAGATATTTGTTGAGATATAGGTAAGGAGGTAGAGGGCAATGCTTTTGGGCCTTGTGTCATAGAACGGTAGGTTGGGAGTTGGTGGATGGCTTCATGTTTTATATAATAATCAGAGAAGTAATTGCAAAAATGGATTTTCATGTACATTTGGAAGCTTGGACACAATTACTGGATTGCTCTGAATTGAAGCTTTCTACCAACTTTAGCATTGATAAATTCTGGGCCTTGTTGCTGGAAAGAACATTTATTACTTAAGTAACTACAGAAGAAGGGTATCATGCATTGAGACCACTGCCAAAGATCTGTAATTATGTAGGTGGCAAATGTATGCTGTTCATTGCACATGTTGAGGAAAGGACTGCAAAGAACTGATTCTCTCCTACCTTTTTTTGCCTTATATAACTCTGATATTTGATATGGAAAATTGAAAACGGTTCCTTATTTATGTATTTTTAACTATTTGATTCGTGTAGTTTCTTCTATTTCATACTTAGAGTCTCAATCTTTTTGCTAATTGGTAAGTTGTCTAGGATTTGATAGAAATACAATATCTGGTTCAATTTTTTTGAGCTAATTATTAGACAGAAATCGGTGAGTGATTTAATATATTTAGATCTGAGTGATATGATTAATTTTACAATCTGTATTAATTATAATCCAAACCTTTTCCTTGTCTGTTCTTTGCCAAGAAAAAGTTGATTGTGTCCCTTGACTCTGGTTAATTATGGGATCATTATTAATTGTAAGTGCATAGTGGTATATATAAAAAAAAAAACTAATTTTACAAGTCTTTCATACAACCATTTCAGGAGGTATTACTGGTCAGATGTGGTATCTAAGTTTCTGGAGGGAGACAAACAGATAAAAGAGACCACAGTCCCTTCCCGTCATTTTTTTTTTTTATTAACTAATACCTGATGAACCCTCTTGTGGATTCACCAGAACATACTATTTTTCCAGCAAATAATTTTTGCTTCTGTTATTCAATTGGTCTTGTATTCTTTTTATTTTATGTCAATTAATCTAGCAACTTTGCTTTCAAGGTTCATGAATTGAATTTTTGTGTTTGCCTTTATTGAGTTCATCAATTTTAATTTTCATGGAGGTGTTTTAGTTTTGAGGTTATTTGGGTATATCCTTGCAGATTTTTATCAGAACCGAGCATAACTCGTTATGCGAAGATAGCAATGCAGTTACAAAATAAGACAGTCCGGGATGTGGCTTTGCGTTGCAGATGGATGACTGTAAGCCTTACTGTTCTCATTTGTCTCTATTTAAACGCATCAGTTATTGTAAACAATGGATTCAATTCATATTTTGATGGTTTCATTTCTGCCACTTCAGAAGATTTAGCATTTGTGCTACGTCAAACGGATATCTATTTTGTGTTTACAGAGACAAATGTTGTTTGTGTTTGTGTATAATATTTACATAACCCTGAAAGCGACACACACACATGTATGATAAGAGCGCGATCTGATTACATAACCTTGAAAGCGACACTCTCACACACACACACACGCACACACATGTATGATAATTGCACGATCTGATTTATGCTTTATGCAGAAAAAGGAAAACAGCAAGAGAAGGAAGGAAGAACACAATTTAGCCAGGAAAAGTAAAGACAAAAAGGTATGATTTACTTGTTCTTTCTTTCTGTGTGCAAAGTAGTACTAGTATGTGTTTTATTTGCTTCTATGAGCCTGCTCATTTGGTTTCTTATTAGAATGCTTAAAATTAGACATCAGCTAAAAGCAAATTATCTCTCTCTATGATAACCTGCAGACGTTGTCTTTCTATTTATCTAGCTATCTATCTATCTCCTCTGTCACACGGGCATATCCGAAGAGATGTGAATGACCGCTTCTGTTCACACTGGAAGACTCTCTTGTGCATGTGAGGTAGTGGAGGGAAGCTCATTGATCATAGGAAAGTTATTGAGTTTAGCATAGAATTTTATATTTTTCTTGGTAGAGATGTTAGTTGGAGATTTAATTAGTACCTGCTGCTTAGCAGCTGTTTCTTTGGTGGAATTTTGATTGATTTCCTTAGGTACATGTGGTATATGCTCGAATCACGTTATGGGCGCATTATTATCCATCATTGTCTTTTCCATCATCTTTTCTTTGAGGCCTCTGTTTTGCGAAATTTGTATTGGAGCATTTCTTTGTCTGCTGATGAAAAGTTCTCTACTTTAACTGCTATTTAGACTTAGAATGTATTATATTTAACCAGAAAAATTTTCTTTCACAGTTGCTAATTCATGATAATATTTTGTTGATATGATGAGAAAAAAAGCAACATTTATATTTTATGACCACTATTTGGACCAATAGATTCTTAGGAATATCCTTTGCTTTTGTTTTTCAGGAAAGAACTGCTGATCTGTCAGCAAAGCCTACTCATTTTGCTGCTCAACCTAATCCTTCTCCATATGCACACCCAATGATTCCTATCGACTATGATGACGGTATTCCATACAGAGGTTGGATTTTATCTTTGAAGATTTTTAAGTTCCTCCTAATAGCTCAAGGTTTAGAGATGTGCTTTGTTGGTTCTTATATTCAAGTTTTACTTTCTTAAAAATACTATCTTTTAGCCTGCAATTTTTAATTAAAATTTCTGTAATCAGTCATTTTCTGTTTCATCAAGATATCTAGTATTACATTAAAGAAGTTTAATGTACATCGTCTTGAGGCAGAGAGACTGATTCTTATTTTTTCATGTCTTATTGCCTCACCAGTTGCAATGAACTTTTGGTGTTTTCTTTAGATGTTGTTTGGGTTTGGGATTTATCGATCCCTGCCATGCATATTTGTTCTAACCTCTTATAGCTGGCACTAAAGGTTGGAAGCCTAAGCTTTCTATCAAAGCTGTTAAAACTTTTGGTTGAAAAATGTTGGACTTTTGAAGGATTTGAATAATGGCTGGTGAAGCAAATTTTCATTTTTTTTTTACCTGTGCTGCTTTCTGTGGCATGGCGTGGTTGGTGCCTCTTTTATGTCTTCTTGTCAACTTAATAAACTAACAATTTCAAATAAATAAATAAATAAAAGAAAGTGAGAAAAGTGAAAGAAGTAAATTTGCTGTCCTTTCCATGGCTACTGCTTTGTTGGTTTATTGGAGGCATGCCAATCTTTGCAGAATGCAAGTAACAGAAAAAAGGGTCCAAGACATACCTAGAAATGGTACAAATAAGAAGTAGCTGCAATTATGTATTGAATTTCTTTTATGTTCTTGATTATTGCTTTTGCAAACCATGAAGATTTAATTTAGATTTATGGTGCCTGAAATTTGCTAAGCATGAAATTCTTTTACGTCTTTTATGCTGTTATTATTGGAAAATTTAATTGAATGCTGCAGTATGCCGTTTCACAACGATTGGCGGGGTGACGGAAGAACTTCTGGAGCAGAATGCTCAAGCTTTCAATCAAATATCTGCAAATCTTGCAGCTTTTCAGGTGAAGTACTCATGTTATGAGTGGATCATTTTTACTTTATTCTTCTATTTATTTTGTTTGCATTACAGGTTGCTGATGCTCCCATGTATTTATTTATGTGCAGAGGACTAATATCAGATCCCTTAACCCATCTTTGGAACATCTTGATTTCTCACTTCTATTAATTCTGTTGTAAAGTATTTTAGTAAGCACATTATCTTTATGAAATTATTTACCGTAGGGATATTCCCCACCCAAAATCCTCTCTCTCATACATACTCACGTGTTTGCATGAAAGCATTTAGAAAGTAGTGTGATAAAAAAAAAAAAAATTGTTTGGATACAACCAGGTCCAGTCTTCAAGCAAGGAATTATCGAGCCACTTCTCATTGTTTTCCAACTTTTTATAAGATTGGACAAAATTGAAAGGAGTGCTTGATTTCTATATGGCCTAGAGAAACTCCTCGAACGATTCATTTTTTTATTTAAGAAGTTATGCTTCAAATGTATTTTAATAAATAATAGCATTTGTCATTCTACTGTGAAAACAGTTGCATCATTCTTTACTCAGATTATTTATTCTTGTTATAAAGCTATAGAATATATATATATTTTTTTATATTTATATCATTATGGAATTGATTTTATTCAGAAGTTAAAGCAATAGGTAGAGCACTGTGGATTTAGATTTTTCAGTATACCTATATAATAAATATTTTAAGAGTCTCTTTATCAACTATGACTGGGACTGCAGTGTTTTGGAGTTAGCATCTTTAGAGTGTAGTGGCAATACAAACTATGTAAAGTAAATAAAATTTCTGGCTGTTCATGTGGATTGACCAAAAGTTCCGATGTGTTAAGCCTTGGGTGGGTCTCTAACGGAATTTGTCTCCTCTACCTTTTTCCAGATACAGGAAAATATTGGTCTCCTCTGCCAAACTCGTGACAACATTCTCAAAATCATGAATGAGTGAGTTCCAGTTTTTGTTAAGGTCCTTTTCTATAATAAATAGTTATTGAAAATTAAGTCTTTAAATGATGTTCAAGTTTATGCACAATGTCTTTCTTGGTGGTGATAATTTGATCATATCATTCAATAAATTGTTTTCTCAACCGTGAAGGATGTGCATGGGTGTATAGCACCTATAGGTTGGGATGCAAGTTTATATTCATGCATGTATAATTTATTTGAAATATTGATGCAGTGCTTTGTGTATTTATGATTGTCTCTCGGCTTATCAGTGGATTATACGTGCTACAAGTTGTTGTTCCTCTCATCTCTTTTCTTTGTCTTATTGCCGTACGATTGTATGCGGGTCTGCTTCTGTTTTTGCATATGCTGAATATGCTTAACAGTTGAACTGTCTTGTTGGACATAAATATTATTTGACATGTGCCTCTAGGAACTTCTATCTATTAGTTTCTGTTCTATTGAAGTGCTATATATGTGCTCTCTTATATATTCTGTTTACTGTTGGATTGGGGGAGGGGGACCTAGGACTTATTATCAATGGTTTGGAGAAATTCCTCTCAGCAACTGGTTTATCTTTCTATTAATGCTTCATTCACTACAAATCAAAAGCTATTGGATTCGTCATATTTGGGCTGCTTTGTTGTCTAGCATTGGAAGCTAAAATTTGGATAAGATGAGGGTGGTTGATAGAAAGGACTTGGAACTTTAGCAGGTGCTCTTTGTATGCATTGTTTAGGTTTGTTGCATCTATGTTGTTTGCTTTCCCCTGACATGTTTTGTAACTTAGAATTTACTTAATGATAATATAATTCAGTTCAATGAAATGTAATTCAGAAACTTCTCTTTTGCGGTTTGCTTAGTCATGGCCATTTCTCTAATTTGAGATAATTTTATCTTTGCAGCAAGCCTGTTATCATTGACATTCTAAATAATCCTCGAGCTTTTAATTAACCCAGATTTTTTTCTTACAGTAACTTGCATTATGCATTCTATTGACTTCAATTACAAATTTGACAATGAATTAAATTCCTGTTATTGTATGCTTATTTCTTGGTTAGCATTAAGGATTTCCAAACTTGATTATCACATGCACTAATATAATTCTCATATGCTCCCATTGACTTCCATTTGCAGATTGAATGACATGCCAGATATAATGAAGCAGATGCCAGAACTTCCCGTAAAAATGAACGACGAGCTAGCTAACACCATCCTTCCCCCTTCACCCCATCCTATGCAATCATGATCCTGCCTTCGCACCTGCGCTGATCGACAAAGTAACTGCTGACGAGGTCGACTCTCCTTTACCATTTAGAATAAATTCTCTTCCCTCCCTTCCTTGCATGTAGAAGGCTTAGTATTTCTTGCTTCCTTTCTGCATCTGAACTCAAAATAGTTTGTTTCTTAGTTCATGATTTAGAAGGTAATTTAGGGTTTGTATAGGGGATATAGTTATGCATAAAGACAGTTAAAAATATCGATTTTAATTCTTTGTATTTGGTATAATTTTTGTCAATTTTTCTCTCTATTATCTCTGTTGGATCTTCTTCCTACTGTACTGACAGGTAAGGCTGCAGATTGAAGATGTAGAAAAATAATTTTCTGGCGGTTGGCTCAGAATTGAAATAGATTTTAACTTGTCAACATTACATGATCTATCGATATAGTATTGAATCGTAAGTGTATATATATATATACACACACGAGTAAAGATTTATTTTAATTAATATAAGTTTTATTTATATTTTTTTCATTGGCTGAAAATTAAATCTTTCAATTAATTTTAAAATTTACATCAACGGGTATGATATAATTTATTTTGACGTGTTTTTTTATAATATATTTTAAAAAATAATAACTTATATAATTATTAAATAGATACAAGATCATATGAAAACTTGTTTTTAGAGTTAAAAATTTTCTATGTTGGTGGTTTTTTTTTTTTTTTTTTTTTTTTTCTATTTTTGGCAAATTATTACTATTAGCCAAAAATCAAGGCTTCATGTATGCTGCTGGTGTCAGGAGAGATACCAGTTTTAGTTGTTTGATTTGAATAATTTTGGTGTGGAAGCAGCATTTATTGACCGTAATTAGTTATCTAATATGTTTTTATTTTCCTCATTAGTAATTTCAATTCAAATTTGATTCTCTTTCTCTTTTCTTTATACGTTCTAGAATTAGACCTCTCTAGCTGTAGCCGACGGTGTTGATGTTTACAATTACGTCCCTTTATTATTGAGACAAATTCTACAAAAATTAGGGATGACAAAAAAAAAATCAAAAATTTTGAAATGTGAATTGAAAATCAGTTATCTTCGATGGCTTTATAAAAAGAAAATTTTAATTGGGACGAAGATTTGAATTTTAAAAAATTTTCAAACTATCATTTCAACTCTATGGGAATACAAAATAAATCCAATAAATAAAGAAAAGAAATTTATTTTTTTCAAACTCGATATATTATTATATGTTTATATTTTATTATAAATTACGTACCATAAAATTTCATTTCAAAATTATATATTAATAGTATAGACTATTAATATTTTAAATAAATTGACTAGAAAATTGGTTTTATACTTGAAACCATAACAACTTTCAAATATGATTTTTCAAATTTTTTATTATATTTTTCTTAATTTAGAAGCAAAAAAAAATATTAAAATGTTTCCCATAGTGGTTTTTATCTATATAATAATTTTCCTCTTAAATTTTGTTTTAAAAATAATTATACGTAAAGATAAGTTCATCATTTTCGTAATTAAATTAAATACTGAATGATACATATATTTTTTTATTGTGTATAAGCAACTGAAATAGAAAACAAGAAGAGAAAGGGAAACGTGGATTAAAGGAGGATGTTACTAATTTAACAATATTAGCCTAAATTGGGGGCATGACTTGCGGGTGATGAAGGGTTTGATTGTGACCTTAACTGTGTACCATAGGACAGACAAACCGTTCACGCAATTTGTTGAGTTACCTGTAGGAAGATATAATGTGTCATTTTCATTATTAAAAACTAGGATTAGGACCATCTATTTTTTTTTTTGCTAAAATATTAAAAGAGCTTTTGAATTATTTTATTTTTTAAAATAAATTTTTATATTTTTATTATTTTCAAATAAGTTCATATTTTTTTATAATATTTAAATAAAAAATAGATTTATGTTAAAGACTTATTTAAGTTCAAATTAAAGATTAAAAATTTATTATGATATCAATTAAAGTTTATAAGTTTATTTGAGTGCAAATTAAAAATAAAAAATTATTTAGATGCAATAAAAGTATAAAAATTTATATAAATAAAACAATAAAATGTAAGAATTTTTTGTTATTTCAACCTTCTTTTATTTATTTAAAAAAATAATACGCATTTAAATCTTTTCAAATTTGCAATCTCTAATAGTTTGACCAAAATGTATGTCATCCAAGTAATATAACTTTGAGAAGTTTAGGTATGATATTTAATTGGAGTATTAGTTTAAATTACACCAATAATTCTTAAATGATTAACAATGTCATATTCATTTTATAGTTTCACGCGTTTTGTTTTTCATTTCCTCAATCTAACTTTAAAAATTATTAACATACTAAAAAAATCATATTATTTAAGAAAATTAATGAAAAAAATCAACAATTAAATTAATCATAAAAAAATTCAAGTCAAACTTTAATAACAAAGGCTGCAAAAATTTTTTAAAAATGTGTTGTACAAAAAAATTTGTACATGAATGTGGTCCACTTATCATTAATCAAATAGCATGTGATGGATTTTATTGATTTACTTTTCAACTTTAGTTAATAGATATAAAAAAAAAAAAAAACGTATAAAATGAGGGTTTACACTAACTGTGTCCCACAATGGAGTTTGAATTGAATCTTTCTTCCAAGTTTCTATCAATGAAAGTTGCAATGTTAGGCATATGTCTTTTGTCCCTTACCCACATAAATTTATTTACTTTTTTTGTACCAAAATCCATAACTTCAGCCATGTTCACCGTCCACAGAACCCAAATGTTGCTGGGTTTCTTTTGTTGTATCTTTTTGACTGTGCTTTCTTATAAAAAAATAGAAAAAAAAAAGGGTATTTATTAAATGCAAAAATAAAAAGGAAACCGTGCGCCAATCTATGTTTCTTCTAATTTTCTTCAATTATTTTGATTTTTTTTTTCACGAGCTTAATTAGTCTGATTCGAAGATATTATTATATGATTGTATTTAATTTTAATTTTAAAATTATATTTAAAAATATTTTTATTTTTAATAATAAAAAATATAAATTAATTGGATAGGAACGAGCTCGGATTTAAACATAAATTTTTATCATGTTAGTAATTGAATTTTGTCTTGATTGATTTATGGATAACTCTGTTTTCTCTCAATTTTATTAGATACTTTTAAAATTTATGTGTATATTAGACAAAATAGAGTTAGTTTTATTGAGTGAGGCAATATCAAAATAAATTTATGAAATTAAGGAAAGAGGGATAAAAATTAAAATAAAAAATAGAATTGATCTCTCCTTGTTTGTAGCCTACCATTTTAGCTTTATAAAAGATTAGGCTATGTTTGGATTGAGGAGAGATGAAAGGAAGGAAGAGAAAGGAAAGAAAAGCTAGAAAAATACTAAATTTTTTTTTTTTGGTTTATCATTTATTTTTTAATAAAGAAAAAGAAAGAAATTTGAGCATCCCTCCTTCCTCCTCAAAAATCATAATTTTTAATTACCCCAAATTGGATAAACAAAAAAGAAAGGAAATGATTAAAAATTTTTAACTATAAAATAATTTTTATATTTTTATTATATTTTATCATTTTTAAAAAATATTATTATAATATTTAAGTTTAGCCATTGATGTTAACCATTGATTCTGTCTTTAAATATTTAGTAACTCATTTCTCTAATTATTTTTTTGTCAAAATTTTGAATTTGATATATTTTTAATTTATGCTTGATCTTAATTTTTTTTTTCATTTTGTTATTACTTCATAAATTTTAAATAATGAAAATAAAAAATGATAAAACATGTATAACTATAAAAAATATTAATACTTAAACAAATTTATGGTTTATTTTATCTTAATAATAAATATTTAAATTTTCATTTATGGATTAATTTTGAAAAAAAAATTATGGTAGTATAAAAATAATTTCAAATATGCATTTTTTATGAATTAATTATTATTATTAATTTTTTAATTACAATTATTTTTATTAACTTTCAAAATTATTTAAAATAGTTTGTATCAAAATTATTCACATGACAATAAAAACATTTTATTTTAAAATAATATAATTAAAGTAATACAATATAATATTTCTTTTTTTCATAATTTAACCATAATTAATTCATTCCTTTCTTTTACTCAATTTGGCAATCCAAACAAGGAAATAAAGTACATTTCCATTATTGTAAAAACCTTTCTATTTTTTTTTTCCTGCCCTTGACTAACTTCAATCTAGGCTAAGATTATTTTAGCCACCATTTTAGATTCACGCTTGACTTTCTTGGAGCCACATTTTTTGTAAGAAAAATACATACAAAGGACCATACTCTTGACGGAAAGGCAACCCTATTGACCAGGAAAAAGACATGGTTGTTTCTTGACTTTTTGGGCAACATAGACAAGACAATCGAAAGTGTTTTGGTTAGAATTGGATGCATTTCAGACAACCCCACTTCAATCAAATGAACACATCATATATTTGGAAAAGCTGAGGAGTTGTTGTAGTTTTCAGATGTGGGTTCAGTACAGAAACTCCAAACTTCCCTCCTCTTTCTCTCTTATAAAACATAGCCTTGGGCACATGCTTTTTTGGTGCTTTGGGGTTTGAAAACTTATAGTTATGGAGATCTGTTGGGGTTTCTTGACTTTGGGTTTCTGGTTTTGAATACAACCTCCAGAAACATGACTTCATTTTGGAAGAGTCTAAGCTTCTAGACTTGTTTCAGTCTTGAATTTTTATTTATAACCCTTGTTCAGTTATCAGAATTAGCAGTCAGGGAAAAACTTGGAATTTCGAGTTGATGTATCAAATCAAAAGATTGAAGATATTAGTATTAGCTGTAAAGAGAGCCAGCCATTGAACAGAAAGCTTTCTTTAACAGCTTTAATTGGAGGTTCGAAAATTGATACATCTATCTAAAGTACTGTAAGTTCATTGTTTCACCATTTCCTTCCATGCTTAATTGGCTTCTTCTATTTCCTTTGTTAATTCTGTCTCTTCTCTCTTATTGTTAATGCAATCATCAAGCCAAACCATATTAGAGCATTAATGTTGGCTTTCAAACTGCAAGTTGCAGTTTCAATTATCGCATCATGCATTTTATGATTAAATTATTAATAATTCATAGGAATTCAACCATAAAACGTAACTTCGAGTTCTCAAATGAAACCTTGATTCTTGAAACAAAAGGAAAACTTTTATATATATTTTTTGGTTTCTTGGATGTGTAGAGAGAACTGTAGATCATGTCGGCCAAAATTGTTCTTTGCTTGCCGAGAAGTCATTCCTTTCAAGCCACCCTGCTTTTAGAAAAGTTTTTCAAAGCCTTTGATAGTATATAATAATATAGGAAAAAAAAATATCTTTCTCCATTCACACTTAAGCTAGATACGCTATTGCTTTTCTTTTGCATACGTGCTTCGAGTTCCCTGTTGTTTCCCACTGAATTTACAAAGAAAAATCTCGGCAGTCCCCAAAGTCTAAAGAAAGCTCAATGCTCTTGCCTGTAAGTCTTTGATATTATTACCTTCTTTCTGGTTTCCATTTTTTTCTTCTTTTTTATGAAATGAGAGATAATTTTCTCACATCTTTCATATGTAAATCTCGAAATCTTCATGTCCTTTTGAAGATTTTTTGTTGGTTTCGATGATTACAATGTTTTTCCCGACCCCTTTTTCCTTATCAAAAAAATAGAAAAGTTTTATTTTTAATAATAATTAAGTTTTTTTTTTTCAGAAAATAAATGTATAGTTATAACTAATTATAATTATTTAATCTCAATGGTGCATGAATTAATGCATTTGATACTTTCAAAAATATATAGGATTTAGGGATAGTGTATGTGTGTGTGTTGGCATTGCATTGGTGTATAGCAATAATTTTCAAAGCATTTTTTTTGTGAACTCATAAATGTTTACCTTGTTTGGCAGGTTAGAAATGGAACGCACAACGAGATTGCTTGTGCCATTGTTGTTAATGGTGACGATTTTAGCCATAAATGTCATAGAAACTACAGGGCAATTTGATTCACCTAGTGCTTCTCTACCAGGTCGGGCCGAATTACTTTTGACTTTTCTATTTCTTCTTTTTCCATCATTTAGAAGTCAATACTTTTATAATGCAACCTCAAATAAAAAAAAAATGTAAGTTGATACAAATTCAAATGAAAAATTTTGCTTTGAATTTGAGTCAAATCGTGAAAAATGGTCAAGAAGTTGGGATAATAAGTCAAAAGTCAACATATATGCTTTTCTGATCAATTTAATTAATAAGATGGGGCCAAGTCTTGTCATATGAGTTATTAGTTGGGCTGAAACACAAGCTCCATTTGGTCTATGTAATGATTCATTATAGGGCAAATCTGTGCGTTTGCATTATCTTATTTTGTTATCATTTCGTTTATAGAATTTAAAAATTTCAATGACAGCGGATGAAGAAATTTTTCATTGTTTTTAATAAAAAATAGGAAAAAAATCTTATATATATATAATTTTTAATTTTTATGTTTTTTTATTATTAGATACAAATTCAAGCAATGAGTCACCACAGCCCAGGAGACAATCAGATGATACAGTGAGGGTGGATCCATTGGACAATTTCAAGAAATATAGAGGAGGATATGACATCACTAACAAGCATTATTGGAGTGTAATTCTCTAAACTCTCTCAGTTACAGTGTGATTTTTTTTTTTCATTATCAATTTTTTTAAAATTTTGATCTTAATTATTTTAGATATAAACTTTAAAACTATTTTATTCAAAGTTTTGAAAGAATATTTTTTCAAATTTTCCTCCTTGTTTTTGTGCAGTCAGTTGCATTTACAGGCGTCTATGGGTATGCAATTGGACTCCTATGGCTTTTGTGTGGAATTCTGTATGGAGGCTATCTCCTGGCAACTGCTTACTGTTGTAAAAGAAATGGAAAGCATAAGACAAAATCAATCTGTCACAATCAATGTTACTTATGGCCAATTCTCCTAGCTATAATCTTCACAATCCTGGCAATGTAAGTTCTTCACATCACTTCTAAATTTGATTGAATCTCATTTTTTTTCAAATAGGTACTAAAAGTTATGCTCCATACCGATCAAATACTGATCTGTAATCCTAATTTTGCTGGCAGAGCTGCATCAGGTTTAGCTCTTGCGGGAACAGCAAGATTCCATTCTGAAGCAAAAACTGTGGTCGACATCATTATCCACACAGCAAATGAGGCATCAGAAACTATATATAACACTACAGGGGCAATGAAAGAAATGAGAGATGACTTGGGAGAAACTAATGGAACTGCTGAGGCATCTAGTTTTCTTACCTCCACATCTGAGCAACTGGATGTTGCAGCTGCTGATATAGCGAGACAGGCTAGAAAAAACAGACGATTGATTGATAGGGGTCTCAAGATAGTGTAAATCTCTATATCTTCATCCCCAACATATCCATTGCTTCTTTAGCCATGTTCAATTACATTTGCATATCAATTAGAAGGATATTGACCGTTATATCTATTTGTTCTCACAGGTTTATAGTAACCACGGTGACCATTTCCTTGAACCTGGTAGCAGTTATAGCTTTGTCAGGTATATTCAAAAGTTCTGCTGAAAATTTTCATGTTCTTACTCGTGCTATGGTTCTTATGAAAGTTGAAAATTTTCCCTCTGCAGTGACTGGAGTACTGAAAATAAGACGAGCACTTTACTGGTAAGGAACTTCAGCATTTATGAATCTAACTCATTATGTCATCAAACACTTATTGAATGTTCCTAGATAAGCCTGTTTGGACCAGTCCGAGGAGGAGATGTACTGCACAAAACCCAAGAACCCTTTGCCCGTTTAAAAAAAAAACACTTATTAAAGGTGAGAAAATTGACCTGAAGATTTTTTTCTTACTCTTTCAGGCTAATTGCATTATGTTGGATCTTGACAATCCTATGCTGGTCGTTCTTTGGGATTTATTTCTTCTTGGAAAAGTAAGTACAAGTTTATCTGTTTTCCTCTTTACTTAATAATTCTCAAGATTTTCCTAGGTTGCTTGAAATGTTTGCACTCATAAGTGATGACTCAAACAAATGTTCAATTCCAGGTTCTCAGGTGATACATGTACAGCTCTTGAAAACTTCCAAGAAAATCCCTACAACAACAGTTTGAGCTCAATCCTCCCTTGTGATGAATTGCTCTCTGCAAGACCAATCCTGTTTGATGTTACTGTCGGAATCTACAACCTTGTTAATGAGGTAAATTGTAGTTTTAGTTCATATGTTACAATCTTCAGAACTAGTTTGAGTCTAGCATTTCATGACAGAAAACGTATCTCTTCATGGCATTGAATGGTTCATTCGAATTCAACTTCCGAAACTGATCCAATGCATAAAATTTCATTAAACTTCAAGGTTCCTTAGAATGTTAAAGTCCTCAGAGTGCAATGGCAAACATCAAATAGTTTCATTTACATTTTGTCCTTTGAATTTCTATTTTGTAATGGAAACAAGTACTTCAACATTTGCACAATTTGCTTATGATTCAATTCGCCTTCTGTTTACTGTTCTTCAGGTGAATTCGAACATATCACAGCTGCAAGCAACAACATATCCAAATCTTGCTTACGTTTGCAATCCTTTCTCTGCGCCGCCAGAATATATATACCAGCCGGATAACTGTCCTGCTAATACGATTAAGATTGGCGACATACCAAAGGTATGCAGAAGGAAATCAAATATCAAATATGTTCATGCATTGTTGCTAGCATTTATCCATGACTAATTGACTGATCTCTTTGTAGATATTGATTCTGTTTACTTGTTCTGATGCCAATAATGGAACCTGTCAAGAGGGACAATTCATATCTGCTAGTGCTTACAAAACAGTGGAGGCTTACACAATTTCAATTCAAAACCTGCTAAATGTTTATCCTGACATGGAAAGCCTAGTAGAATGCCAGTCAATGAAGGACGTGTTTTCTGAGATCCTTCGCGACCACTGCAAACCAGTGAAGAGATCCGTGCGCATGGCATGGGCTGCAATGGTGTTTCTGTCAATCACCATGGTAGTTTTGGTTCTGATATGGACAGCACAAGCTCGTCATGATCAAGAACTTCATTCTTTAGATGGTTCTGTCAAACCTCAATCTTCAACAACAAATTCATTGGAATCCCAAGCAAATAATGAAGTGATCAAAGATCACTCATCAAATCCTAATTCAGTCTAGAAAATTGCAAATTTCATAATTGTTACTCGGGAAGACAATGCCACAAGCAGCTTCCAAGAACACCGGCTATAGCATCAACACAATAGTTTGTACAGGTAGAGATACAAAAATTGCGATAAGGATAGCCATAGACTATGAAGGCAGACAAAGAAATAGAAAGCCTAGTAGAAACAAGATTAAAGTTTATATTTTTTACTATCATAGCATTACAGATTTTGCTTCTATAATATCATATAGGGTCAAATCTGGGGATCAACCCCATAACACAGATGTAATGTTGCTTGTTCAGCAATAAAAAAGAAAAATTCCTTTTATCTAGATTTTAGTTGCAGGAAGAAATTTACTTTTACTTTTTTTTTAAAAATCTTTTCGAAAGTTGCTATAAAGTAAAGGATAAAAAGTAAAATCATAATCAGTTAGAAAAGAACAAATAGTGAAAATGCTTTACTAATTATCATATAATTAATCTATATAAAAATATAAAAATAAATTATTTATTTTCTTATCGAAAAAAATACATATTTTATCTATATTCTTTAAAAATATGTTTACTTTTGTACATAAACAAGTTCTTCTATTTTTTATTTAAAAAATTAAAAGTAAATTAATAAAAATATCAACTAAATAAAATTATTAAAAAAAACTTAATAAAACCAATCAAGTTCAGATAAAATTTTTCTTCGAATCGCAATACTCTAGTTACAATACATTTACTCTTGATTTTGGTTATAAAACGAGTCAATCTTTGAATTTAAAAAGCACGCATGCTTATAATAAGGATATCAAAATTTATCCATATCTTATGGAGATTTCAACTTTTTAATTAAATGGAAATGAGTTTTACTGATATGAAAACAAATATAATTTTAAATTTTTTATTAGATATAAGGATACAAACGAATAATATAGCATTTTTATCCATTCATTATATATATAATAAATAAATTTTTTATTAAATAATAAAATTATTATTATGATTAGTTTAAATTAATATATTTTATTTTAAAAAAATATATTAATATATATTTATAAAAAAATATATAAATATGCAAGATAAAAATAAAAAAATTAAAAAATATATTTAAAATTTAGTTTTTTTTAAAAGGTTATTGGTACGAAAATTATCCTATTCATTAATTATCAACGAAGATTAAGATGAAAATAGATTTAAAATACTTATTGGACATTGGTGCAAAAATAAATATAATATAACAATCAAGGATAGATATGGACATAGGTGAATCTGTATTTTTCAAAGGGTATCCTCAAACACCTCACAAATAATGAAAAATAAGAAAAATTGAAGGAAAATTTTTCTTAGAGATCCCTTAAAATTTCTTCTCGATACCCCCAAACATTGAAAAATGAAAAATTTTGAAGAAAAAACACCCATTTCATTGACAAGATTGATAAATTTATCAAAAATTTTTATATATACCATAAGTGGACACTCTAAAAATAAATTCTTAAATCCATAGTTAAAGATAAAAAGTATACTATTCATCTCATATCCCATCTATTGATATTAAAGGAGTTAAATGAGTCATGTTGAGTTGGCATAGCTCATTTAAATATTAGTCTATGTGTTAATAGATCGTGTCAACTTAACATTATTATTTTAACGTGTCATGCTGTCACAACTCATGAAAATTAAGGATATGGCTCAACATGGCACATGGCCTAAAATCTTCATGGGTTGTGCCATGCTAGGCACAATACTATTTTTCATGCATAATCCATTAATACTTTTTCAAATTTTAATTATTTTAAAAAAATTTCCAACTATTATTATTAAAAATAACATGTGAAAAATAAATAAACAAAAATGAAATAAAAAGAACACATAATTTACGTGATTCGACAAAATGTCTATATCCACATAGATGAATAATAAAATTCATTAAACAAAAATATTGAAATTATAATCATAATATCTTAAAAAACATACACACACAATTTTTCAATACCAAGTACTACGCATGTAACTATAGTTTTGCAATTAGTCTATAAATAAAATTTTATAGGAAATTTTTTATAGACTAGATATTAAATTTTCTTTATAAGAAAAAATTTTAAAAGCATCTAATCTAACATTATTTCTTGAACCTATTTTATAATAAGGTAGTATACCATTACTAATTAAATCATTAAAATGTTTATCATCAGCAAAAAATAAATGGTTGCTCATATTATATTATAAATTTAGCTGATTAATTATGTCAATTATCTTATAAAAAATAAAATGCATCTAAAAACTCATTAAGATGTTGACTAAGTGTAATTTGTGTAAAATTATTAGAAGCGGCATATGTAATCTTGTTTTTTTATGCCATTTTAGATTATTAGTCCTTCCTTTTATTTTACAACTAAAATCTTATATATATATATATATGTTTTAAGTTTGAAAATTTTGATTATATAACTTTGAAAAGAATATTAATTTATTTTTATACACATAAATTTAAATAAATAAAAATAATCCATGCATCAAATAATTCGTAAACTAGTTAAATATAATTTATTTATTAATAATTTAAATATTTGGTAGTAAATTTATTCAATATAATCTTATTTTATAAATTACAAAAAATAAATGTAATTTCATTAGAATATAATAAATAATATGAATACACTCCTAAGTCAAAAGCCCATTTATAATAATTACATACAAATACGACATGACACAATTGAACTTGTATATAGGAGATGTACTGCACAAAACGCAGGAACCCTTTGCCCGTTTAAAAAAAAAAACACTTACTAAAGGTGAGAAAATTGACCTGAAGATTTTTTTCTTACTCTTTCAGGCTAATTGCATTATGTTGGATCTTGACAATCCTATGCTGGTTGTTCTTTGGGATTTATTTCTTCTTGGAAAAGTAAGTACAAGTTTATCTGTTTTCCTCTTTACTTAATAAATTTCAAGATTTTCCTAGGTTGCTTGAAATGTTTGCACTCATAAGTGATGACTCAAACAAATGTTCAATTCCAGGTTCTCAGGTGATACATGTACAGCTCTTGAAAACTTCCAGGAAAATCCCTACAACAACAGTTTGAGCTCAATCCTCCCTTTTGATGAATTGCTCTCTGCAAGACCAATCCTGTTTGATGTTACTGTCGGAATCTACAACCTTGTTAATGAGGTAAATTGTAGTTTTAGTTCATATGTTACAATCTTTAGAACTAGTTTGAGTCTAGCATTTCATGACAGAAAATGTATCTCTTCATGGCATTGAATGGTTCATTCGAATTCAACTTCCGAAACTGATCCAATGCATAAAATTTCATTAAACTTAAAGGTTCCTTAGAATGTTAAAGTCCTCAGAGTGCAATGGCAAACATCAAATAGTTTCATTTACATTTTGTCCTTTGAATTTCTATTTTGTAATGGAAACAAGTACTTCAACATTTGCACAATTTGCTTATGATTCAATTCGCCTTCTGTTTACTGTTCTTCAGGTGAATTCGAACATATCACAACTGCAAGCAACAACATATCCAAATCTTGCTTACGTTTGCAATCCTTTCTCTGCGCCGCCAGAATATATATACCAGCCGGATAACTGTCCTGCTAATACGATTAAGATTGGCGACATACCAAAGGTATGCAGAAGGAAATCAAATATCAAATATGTTCATGCATTGTTGCTAGCATTTATCCATGACTAATTGACTGATCTCTTTGTAGATATTGATTCTGTTTACTTGTTCTGATGCCAATAGTGGAACCTGTCAAGAGGGACAATTCATATCTGCTAGTGATTACAAAACAGTGGAGGCTTACACAATTTCAATTCAAAACCTGCTAAATGTTTATCCTGACATGGAAAGCCTAGTAGAATGCCAGTCAGTGAAGGACGTGTTTTCTGAGATCCTTCGCGACCACTGCAAACCAGTGAAGAGATCCGTGCGCATGGCATGGGCTGCAATGGTGTTTCTGTCAATCACCATGGTAGTTTTGGTTCTGATATGGACAGCACAAGCTCGTCATGATCAAGAACTTCATTCTTTAGATGGTTCTGTCAAACCTCAATCTTCAACAACAAATTCATTGGAATCCCAAGCAAATAATGAAGTGATCAAAGATCACTCATCAAATCCTAATTCAGTCTAGAAAATTGCAAATTTCATGATTGTTACTCGGGAAGACAATGCCACAAGCAGCTTCCAAGAACACCGGCTATAGCATCAACACAATAGTTTGTACAGGTAGAGATACAAAAATTGCGATAAGGATAGCCATAGACTATGAAGGCAGACAAAGAAATAGAAAGCCTAGTAGAAACAAGATTAAAGTTTATATTTTTTACTATCATAGCATTACAGATTTTGCTTCTATAATATCATATAGGGTCAAATCTGGGGATCAACCCCATAACACAGATGTAATGTTGCTTGTTCAGCAATAAAAAAGAAAAATTCCTTTTATCTAGATTTTAGTTGTAGGAAGAAATTTACTTTTACTTTTTTTTTTTGAAATCTTTTCGAAAGTTGCTATAAAGTAAAGGATAAAAAGTAAAATCATAATCAGTCAGAAAAGAACAAATAGTGAAAATGCTTTACTAATTATCATAAAATTAATCTATATAAAACTATAAAAATAAATTATTTATTTTCTTATCTAAAAAATACATATTTTATCTATATTCTTTAAAAATATGTTTACTTTTGCACATAAACAAATTCTTCAATTTTTTATTTAAAAAATTTAAAATTTTTTATCAGATATAAGGATACAAACGAATAATATAGCATTTGTATCCATTCATTACATATATATAATAAATAAATTTTTTATTAAATAATAAAATTATTATTCTGATTAGTTTAAATTAATATATTTTATTTTAAAAATATATATATTAATATATATTTATAAAAAAATATATAAATATGCAAGATAAAAATAAAAAAGTTAAAAAATATATTTAAATTTTAGTTTTTTTAAAAGGGTTATTGGTACGAAAATTATCCTATTCATTAATTATCAACGAAGATTAAGATGAAAATAGATTTAAAATATTTATTGGACATTGGTGCGAAAATAAATATAATATAGCAATCAAGGATAGAGATGGACATAGGTGAATCTGTATTTTTTCGAAGGGTATCCTTAGACACCTCACAAATATTGAAAATTAAGAAAAATTGAAGGAAAATTTTTCTTAGACATCCCTTAAAATTTCTTCTCGATACCCCCAAACATTGAAAAATGAAAAATTTTGAAGAAAAAACACCCATTTCATTGACAAGATTGATAAATTTATCAAAAATTTATATATATACCATAAGTGGACACTCTAAAAATAAATTCTTAAATCCATAATTAAAGATGAAAAGTACACTATTCATCTCATATCCCATCTATTGATATTAGAGGAGTTAAATGAGTCATGTTGAGTTGATATAGCTCATTTAAATATTAGTCTATGTGTTAATAGATCGTGTCAACTTAACATTATTTTTTTAACGTGTCATGCTGTCACAACTCATGAAGGTTAAGGGTATGGCTCAGCATGGCACATGACTTAAAATCTTCATGGGTTGTGCCATGCTAGGCACAATACTATTTTTCATGCACAATCCATTAATACTTTTTCAAATTTTAATTATTTTAAAAAAATTTTCAACTATTATTATTAAAAATAACATGTGAAAAATAAATAAACACAAAATGAAATAAAAAGAACACATAATTTAAGTAATTCGACAAAATGTCTATATCCACGGAGATGAATAATAAAATTCATTAAACAAAAATATTGAAATTATAATCATAATATCTTAAAAAACATACACACACAATTTATTCAATACCAAGTACTACGCATATAATTATAGTTTTGCAATTAGTCTATAAATAAAATTTTAGAGGAAATTTTTTATAGACTAGATATTAAATTTTCTTTATAAGAAAAAAATTTTAAAAGCACCTAATCTAACATTATTTCTTGAACCTATTTTATAATAAGGTAGTATATCATTACTAATAATTCATTAAAATGTTTATCATCAACAAAAAATAAATGGTTGCTCAGACTATATTATAAATTTAGCTGATTAATTATGTCAATTATCTTATAAAAAATAAAATGCATCTAAAAACCAATTAAGATGTTGACTAAGTGTAATTTGTGTAAAATTATTAGAAGCGGCATATGTAATCTTGTTTTTTTTATGCCATTTTAGATTATTAGTCCTTCCTTTTATTTTACAACTAAAATCTTACATATATATGTTTTAAGTTTGAAAATTTTGATTATATAACTTTAAAAAGAATATTAATTTATTTTTATACATATAAATTTAAATAAATAAAAATAATTCGTGCATCAAATGATTTGCAAACTAGTTAAATATAATTTATTTATTAATAATTTAAATATTTGGTAGTAAATTGATTTAATATAATCTTATTTTAAAAATTACCAAAAAATAAATGTAATTTCATTAGAATATAATAAATAACATGAATATACTCCTAGGTCAAAAGCCCATTTATAATAATTACATACAAATACGACATGACACAATTGAACTTATGTATCGTGCCGTACTTACTCATATGCTACGCATTAATAATGACCTTTAACGGACTGTGCTATTCCAACTCATAAACTTAATAACTTCTAGCGCAATATGGGATATATATATGTATGTACGAATCGTACTTTGCCCATCTTGATTATTTTAACTGGATTATACCAATTACAATCCATATCATATTAAATCATATTGTATCATAGATCGCTAAACCCATTTGACTCCTTTAAATGATATCTCTAGTCTAGAACTCGGGTTTCCAAGGAAAAGGCTCTTTGAAAAAATATTGTACTTATATTCTTGAACCCAGGAACTTGGACATGTGCCACGTTTGGGACATAAGTGTTACTCTAGGATGGGCCAATTAAACAATTGACTTATTTTCTTGGACCCAATTACCGAATGCCTTGGTTTTTCATATCTGGATGCAAAGCTTTCCATTATTATTTTTTATGAAGAAAAGGCCAAAAGTGATTATAAATTTATAATAAAAGGTAAAGGTAAAGGTAAAGACAACAATCAAATTTAGAAATTATCATGATATATATAGGTGACAAATATATTAATAACAACATTTAAATGGAAATTACGACCTAATTTTTGAAAAAAAAATGAATGTAATTCAAACATGTATGAAACTTTGGAGTATAAAATATTTATTTGGCCATTATTTTTATTTTTAAAAAAAATTCATTTCAAAGTAACACTTCATATAGCATGAAAATAAAATTCTCAATTATCATTTTACGATATGCTTAAATAATTAAAAAATTACTATCAATATATAAATTTCACACACAATATTAAATTTTTTTTATTATTTACGGTAATCAAAATTCAAATTCTGATAATTTTAATTAAAAAAATAAAATATGAGATTCCTAATCTTATTTTATAGAAAATGCAAATCACATAGTATAATTTTTGTCATTATATACATAAGATCATTTGATTTGGTTTTATGTTTGAGTTGATATAAATACTCTGATAAATAATCTAAAAAAAGAAAAAAAAAACTAGTCAAGTTGTTTGGTAATTAAGCTGCCTTTTCATTTTCATTTTTTCAACTTAATCATCATCTAATTCCATCACCCAACCAACAATGCAAAAACCAATCACAATTCACCACCATGAACTCTTTGTTTTTGATTTCGGTTAATCTTGATATTATATATGCATATATGAACTTAATTTTCAATTTCTTACATGGTTCTAGAATCACGGCCTGCACCCTTTTTTCCATTCTTTTTTCAAATATCTAACATCATTTTCTGCTGACTTCACGCATCAAAATTTTCAGTCAATTTTTTGTAACCACACCAACCAATGTCCAAAAACTATTTGATGAAATCCGATATATTATTTATAATTAAGATGACGTTAGGCTCACTCGAATTTGGATTACTTAAAATGAATAATTAATATTGAGTATTTAATAATTGTTTAAAAAGTATTGTCTTTTTTTTTTTTTTTAAATTTAATGGTGATGGCATGTATAAAGTGCTTCAATCCCAAATTCTTTTAGGATTTTCCCCTTTTTTTTTATAAATTTTTTGTATATAAAAATATTTAAATCAATGATAATTGTATGTATCTCTTGAAAGGCAATTGAATTATAATATTTTTTTTATAAATAGAAAAGAATAAATCTGTTCCCTTTCATACTTTTCTATCTTAAGCCTTAATCTTTATAACGATTTTTGTTCGATTGTTAAATGTGAAAAATGGAATCATCATTAATCATAACAACAAATACCCTAAGGAAATGGGTATTAATATTAATTTTTAATTGGAGATTGAAAATTATCAATTTAAAATAAAATTAGTGTCAGTCATCATATATTAGTATTTTTTTAGAAAATTATATATATTAGTATCTAATCTTATAAATTAAACTCCACATAAATCCCTTCTATTTTCTCTCATTATTCTAGTGGTAATAATGAAAGAAGATTAGATTTAGCTTTTCTGATTTTTTTATTTTAAATTTTCAACAGAAATAGCACATGATTTTATTGAAAAATCTAAGCAAGTTCATGCAAAAGCTCTACCTGATTAAATCTTACTCTTAAAACTATAAAATGGTGTTGGATTAGTACTGTACACATTTAATTTGGATTCAATCATCATGGTAAATATATATATATATATATATATATATAAACCTGCTTCTTTTCATAAAAAAAACAATAGACTTTTGATACTTAATTGAAGATTTAGAACCTAATAAAGAAACTAGAAAGTTAATGAGTTTTTTTTTTTGAAGTTTATATGAGTGTAACTTAATATTTATAACAAATATATTATTTTTAAAGGTTTATGAATATAATAAATAAATCAATAATAATGTAATTAATTCATTTAAATTACAATGCACAAAATCAAGTGAAAAATAAAAAAAATAACAAATAACAATTTAATGTAACCTAATTTAATACACATATATATATATATGAAATTATTAGTGTATAAAATATATTAAGGGGATTTCAGAACTTTGAGAGGCCAAGGCCTCATCATGCTCCTATGGCGGTCCGTCCCAGCTTATATGCATCTACAATCATGGCCTACAATCATGAAAATGTTAATCTAAACTATCTATGAAAATATACCATTAAAAATCTCTTCGTACACAATGTTTTTTGTATGATATTTAAATCTATCATTGTCTTCTAAAATCACAATTCTTAATTCTAATGGTAAAGTCACATGAGAAGAGGCCACATACAATTTAACATAACTAAAAAGTGGTTTTGGCAAATATAGACCAACATATTTCAATATTACCCTTGACTTTTACTAATTGTCATTGCATAGCTTGGCTTCAACTGATATACCTTTACACTACAAAAAATTTAATATATATTGACGCTAAAAAAAGTA